CATATCGACACCTATCATAAATTAGTGGCATTTTTAAAAAGAGCCTCATCTGGTTATAAACCAAAAAAATCGAAGGTTTTCACAGCATCTGAAATTGCAAAGTTTATTAATGAAGCACCTGATTCCGTATATTTAGCGGCAAAAGTAAGTCAATACGTGTAATTTTTTGTTGTTGATAAAATTGTACATAGTACTTACAATATTTTTAATTTGATTAATTTATTTACGATTATAAATACTTCTTTTGTTACAGGTTGTTCTTATTATTGGTATAACCGGAGCATGTCGAACAAATGAACTTACACTACTTAATGTCAATAACGTATCAAAATATTCTCATAATTCTGATGAATTGCTATTAATTAATGTACTAAATACCAAGACAAAAAAAGACCGCAACTTCGTTATTCGCAAGGAATATGTAAACATTGTTCAGAAATATCAAGCTTTACGTCCTTCTAACACCCCAATTGAACGATTTTTTCTACAATATCGCAACGGAAAGTGTATCCGACAACCTATGGGTCAGAATAAAATTGGCAGTATTCCACGAGAAATAGCAACTTTTCTCGGACTTTTAGAACCCCCGTTATACACCGGTCACTGTTTTAGAAGAACCTCAGCCACACTTTTGGCCGAATCAGGGGCTGATCTTCTATCGCTTAAGCGCCATGGAGGCTGGAAGTCTAATTCGGTTGTAGAGGGATACATAGAGGATTCAATCCAAAGTAAATCAAAAATTTGTAATAGTATCGTGGAGGCCATAACGCTGAAAGAACCTCTGTCAGATTCTTGGTCTCGCCCTTCTACATCTAAAATGAGCCCCCATAAGATTGGAAACAATAGCCCTCTCTCGCCAACATTTACGCCAATAGAATCCAATGAATCGGCACAACTATTTAAAATTACTGATACGAGTAGTTTACCACAAAACAGCGCACAATTCACAAACACCAACATAACATTACCTAACAAAAATATGAAACTTAACATAAGTAACTGTAGCAACGTTACATTTAATATTTCTTAATTATTTTCTACTTCTTATTATTTTCTTCAATTTATAGATTATCTTAATGTGTTTTAATTGAAATAAAAATATTTTGTCATTATAAATTGTTTTCTTTTTCATTTTGTCATTTCCTCGCTGAGGTGGGATGAAAAGTTACGTATTGCACTCGAGTGGAAAGATTTTTCACCTTGTGCTCGTTTGTTTCCCTCGCTGACGCTCAGGATTCTAATTTAGAATCACTCGCTGCGCTCGTGATTCAACTTTAGAATCCTTCGCTTGCTCGGTCATCCAAATCGAGCACGCGGTTAAAAAGGAACTTTCCACTCTTGTATAATAAATAACTATTTTTCAACAAGACAAAACCACTTTTTCTTTCTATTTTTCATGATTAACTCTGTAAAAACTGGTTTTCAAATACTACTTTATTGAATACTGGTGGACCGTCCTCGTTTCATTTCGGTGTAGAGCTGTAGTGTAGACTATAGTTTTTGTTCTCAGTCTTGTATTATACACAATGAATTTCTTCATATAATTAGAAACCTTCCATTAAAAGTAAAGTTTTCGTTGAGTAGTTTAAAACCTGTTGTACCGAATACACCATTGCTCTGCTGTTCCGATTTGTAAAAATACTTTTGTGTTGGATACTGCATTTATCGAAGAAGGCTAAAAGGCATATTACATCACGCGATGACCAGTAGGAGCGGAGCATCGATGAAAAATGTTACAAAAGCTGGTAAAATTATTCCATTTGTGAGCTTCCGTTGCGTTCGCTCAATAAACGGTTAAAGTTACCCAAAAATCATGTATGACGGAATTGTTCCCCTTTTAAAGTGCTATAAAAAAGTCTCCGATAGCATATGCCCATCTTTTAATTTTGACTCACTATAACCTTTTTCCTCAAATTAACGCGGGTGAAACCACAGTGGATTTTTGGCTGTGACACAACTGTAATAGTTGGACATATGGTATCGCGAACTTTATTGTAGATATTGATGTCTTATATAAAGCTTTCGTACATCACTTTGCTCTATTGTCAATGAATTCCGCAGCGTACGCGAAATAAGGTATTTTTTTGGTATTTTACACACGTTGGGTTACATTATCGAAGTTTTCATACGGAACCCTTTTTTGAAAATATTTTAAAGTCCATGTTTATCACGGATAATGAAAATTATAAATATGAGGGATTTTTTTAATTCGGTCCAGTAGTTTCGGATCCTATTCAATACAAAAAAACAATGAAATCTAACCTCATTATAATACTTATGAGTAATAGATAAAGACTAACGGTGTAATATATTGTTTTGAACTTTCATGGTCACAAGCATTATAGTAATTTAAGTTATTTACAGGATTGTTACCACGTACCTTGTTTTTAACTAGTTTCCGATATTTCGACACTATTGCAAGCGCCATGATCATAGAGTAACTGAAGTAGTTGCAGGTAGGTTACTGTTATTGGTAAATCGGTCTACCCTCCGACGAAGTCTTTTATTGCGTTCGATACCCGTACTACTGTTCACATTCTCACTATTCACTCGAAACTGTTCTCGACGCAAAACACTTACTGTATCGGATCGCGACACGGCACATTTTTTATGATTTCGGTTTTTACACATACGAACCACAGGATTCCAGACACTCGGATCCGGGATGCCCAGTTAGCCGGTGGCGTTGGTTTGCTGTAGCATTGCCAAAGATAATTATAATTCCAGGAGTTTTTGTTGAATTGCCGAAAGCAAGGCACCTCTATCCGCGGAGTTGAAGACATTCTGCAGTACTACCTCCGCTGCATCAAGCGACAGCTAGGTGCGAATATCGTGAACAGCTGCTTTACAACCACCCTTGACGGCAAAACTGGTTGGAATTTAGCTGAAACAGTCGGTAAAATGTGGTGACAGCAAATTTTGGATGCTATACGGCGAAAGGTGGAGCCAACAGCTACAGAGCTAACCAAAAGGGTGATATTATGTAATAAGGCTCTGCCAGCGTCACCGACTGAGACGAAAATAAGGTCTTTAAAATGTTGAGGTGACAGCCCATCTAGACCACTGGCAGAGCCACATTTGTAGGAGAATATTGCAGCCGAGATGTCAGTTTCTTTGCTTATTAAATGAGCATTTTGAATTGCTTCGGTGCTGGAGGTGGGTGCTTATCTTTAAGAGCACTAAGGGTCTCGTAGCAGTTGGCGGCAACATCATTACTAAACAAAAGGTTGGCGGCTCTTTGGAGATCGCCTTCGCTTATTTTAGACTCTATTAGCTTAACAGATTTATTAGAATTTAGAGGCGGAGGGAGGAACGAGAAAAGGAAAATGTAATGAGTTCTACCCAGCTCTCAGACGTGTTTACTCTTAATACATGCTCGATGCATTGTGATAAGGAAACAGCGACTGAAGGCCGTGCAGAACGGGGGTTCTTTTTAAGACGGGAAATGAGTTTTTGACATTACCAAGATATTTGCCAAAGTAGTTGGTTGCACAGAGGCAGGGGATTTATGAGACCTGCCAATTTGTATTTTTAATCCACAGTTACCTATAAAACCGGGGTTGTGTTATGTATTATTGCCAGGTATTAAGATTGTCGATACGCGCGTAGAAATTGCGTCAAAACCAACAAATAGTACACTAAACTATTAAAAAGGCATTTGAAACAAAGATGAAAAATAAACACAACACATAAACACATTCCTTGAGTCAAAATTTTATGAAGGATCGCGTCAGAACGTCAAGCTCCTCACCTCCGTTGCTATGCTGCCGGGTCAAATAAAACCACCTATTGGCTGACGTGAGCTGTAGTGTGAATGCCTAGCATTTGCAGCTGTTTATGGCGTCCTTGGAAACAGTCATTAACAACAAACATAGAAAATCAACTTGCCCATATGCAGGGAAACAGAAATAGATGTGGGCTATTAAAAAACGGGTTACTTTTTCCAATATGAAGACAAATAATAATAGGGTACTTTCTTAATTTTTGAAAACTGTGTATATTTAAAGATTGGGACAAACGATTTAAAAGAAAAATAAAAATAAATTATATTTATGCATTTATGCATATACTAGCGGCCCGCCCTCGCTTCGCTTTGGTGTAGAGCTGAAGTATAGACTACAGTTTTTGTTCTCAGGCTTGTATTATACACAATGACATTCATCTATGATTCTTCTTATACCTGCATGCAAAGTCTTAGCCTGATCGGTTTAAAATTGACAAAGTTTCATACAAACTTTCATTCCCTATTTTATCCCCTTGGGGGTTGAATTGATCAAAATCCTTTCATAACGGATGCCTACGTCATGACATCTACCTGCATGCCAAATTTCAGCCCGATCCGTCAAGTGGTTTGGGCTGTGCGTTGATAGATCACTATATATGTCAGTCAGACAGTAGTCACCTTTGAGTTTTATATATATATATATAGATATGAATAAAAAATAATTATATTGCATTAATTAATATATTTTTACTTTTCTGTTAAGTGGTTTGACCCTTTCTTTAAATATAAGCAGTTTTCAAAAATTTGGAAAATACCATAATTTAAACATTAAAATATGGTCAGGCGTAATCTTCACAGAACCATATTTTTTTTAGAAATGTCAAAAGATTATTTTATAAATCGAATTTTCGCGGTAATCTCTATGTATCAAGCTCAAACGTGGATGATTAGACAATGGCGTCGGCATTTATCAATCTTACTGAAAAAATAATAGGATTTTTGCGAAAACACGAGTTGCGTTAGTAACCTAGCGAAAATAATCCTTTGTTTATTATAAATATTCTTGAGTTTTTGAGTTCTAGGGTTATGCCAATTGTGACCAAGAAAAAATTCGTTAACAGTAAGCTTGAGCAATGTTAGTCCTATTTTCTAATTTATCCGTGTGTTCGCAAGACCCCTAGGATTTCCGCGAAAATTCGACTTCTCATATATCATCCTACGATATAATATATTGATTAATATACGAGTATTATCGTGCGACAAAATAAAACAAACATGGATTTTAATTTTATATATAATTAGGTATATAAACTTCACAAATAGAAGCATCTCACAAAAGTACAAATAACGTTGTCTAATTTACGTTGTTCCTACCGACGAACAATTTTTTAGTTAACAGACACTCAAAGCTTTCAACATTAAACAATCTCTTTTCTCTACCTTTTGAACGTAAGGCCATAAACACAAGCCCCATACAAAAACTTACATATTAGAAGTAACATTTAATTATATAATAGGCACATTCAAAGAGATTGGCGAATTGTCATTTTTGGTTGTTAATTCCTTGAACTATACCTATATTTTCATTCCACCTCACAAATATATTTAGCTCAGACGTTCAAACAGTAAGCAACAATATTATAATTTCTAAAAACATAGCATGGTTCAGAACTATCGCCCATAATTAATGGTCATGTTTCCTATGTTACAAAAGAAAGAGTTTCGACATAATTAAGTCTTTTTCAAAACCAGTGCTAAACGCCTGTTGTTTTTCAATGGGTCTCCTACTTGCCAATCTAGGCTGACTGGTTCTAAGTTCTATAAAATAAAAGCTTCAACTATCTTTGTACAGATTGCTAACCTGAACGCATTATTACTGGGTAAAGTTTGGGTTTTAATCCTGAAGTTTACATTGCCTTTGATAGCGCCATCTAGTGGAAAACGCAGCGTACAAATGTAATTTTATTTATTTAATAATAACCACTTACATTGATGTGAAATTATTTTAACAATTATTGTCATCGGGACGGCTTTATCATATTACAGAGGAAATACTCAAAAAAAAAACACGTTTACTCAAGTGACAAATTAAGGCGAGAGACCCATCAGCTACAGCGTTCGGGTATTAATTAGGTGACACGCTTTAAACAGCAAACATACATATCTTAGAATTCACATAAAATAAAATATCCGGAAAGAAGCTATCAGAGGTATTAGTATACCTACCTATCTTTAATATTTTTTATCAACTTGGGCGACAATTTTGAACACACAACAAACATTTTATACACATTTGTGACAATCAATCTATGCTCTATTGTTCGTGCCTACTCAGCGTAAAAACTAGGAAAACTAATGTTTTTTTTATACATCTGTCTGTTCTCTTGTCTATACCGTGATTGCAGTAGTTCCTAGCAATATTGCCACAGTTCGTCAACAAACATAGGTATCTAAAATAAAAGTTTAGACAATATTTTCCCGTCTTTGCCTGTGTTGCATATATATAATCTAAACACGACTCGCTAGATATTTCTAATGAATCTTGGTAACTTTTATCACTTAGGTACGTATGCTTTAGCCAGTTAAAATTAGTTAATTAACCAAAACTCATTAAGTGAATTAAAAACTACACCATCTTTTGAGCTTTTAAAAAAAAAGTGTTTGGGGTGACTATTAAAAGTTAAATAAAAATATTTGTCTTTTAGTTTTCCAAGCATACCTACTAATTATTAAATAAAACACTCTTACAAACCTCTGTAACAACAAAGCGTAAGTTTTGTAAGCACTGAATCTGAAGAAGACAGCGACGCCAAGAAACATAAAAAACAATCAACGCCGTATAAAATACCAAAACTGATTTATAAAATTAATTGATGAACAATAAAAAAATTGCACAATTTCAAATAAGTATAAACATGATAATATTAGTGTAAAATTGGTTTAAAAAGTTATCGAGGTTATTTAACAACACTCATTCCAATAAATATATTTTAAAAAATACAATTTCTTCATGTATTAAGCATTTTTCACTAGTATTAAATTATAATCACGCCATGTTCATGCGTCTTCATTTCTATAACTTTTTGGTATTTAAAGATTCTAAATGCTTAAGCATTTCGTAGTAGAAAATAGAAAACACAGTGAGATTCTGTGCAAATGTTTGGTATAAAGAAATAAACATGACAAACTTACATGACTAGTATTAAATTATCTATGAAATACAAAACAGCCAAACGTATTTAGGATTATAATATAAAGCTTTGTAATAAAAAAGCACCATTTACTTACGTAAAAGAATATATCACAATCAACCATAACGCGAATACAACTAATAACACATAGCACATACAAAGATAGTTTTATTGTCAGCTGTGTTTAAGAACCCAAAAAAATAAATTAATTTTTCATACCAACCAGTACCAATAGCAAAGTCAGTTTTCTGATAATCCAAAAAGTTGAAAGTAATCGCGTACTACTTAAATAGCATTTTTAGTAATCGACGAAATTGAAAGAATCAGAATGCACTTAGAGACATGGATTTAATGCTTCGTAAGTGTTATCTCATTCATTAATGAATATCACAAATAACTGGCAGCATCAACGGCTTAAGACTTCGGATAAAAGTAATCCGTTATCGGCCGAACTATGCTTAGGCGTCATCGACTGATTAAATCAAACGTCAAAATGTATGGATTCGGACGGGCATCATTTTATTTATTTATTTATTTAATCTTTATTGCCTTTACACTGCAAATGGCGGACTTAATGCCAATATAGCATTCTCTACCAGTCAACCGGAAAGAACATACAGAGCTAAAAAACGGAAGAATCAAAGAAGAGAGATTATCATCGGACGATGGTGATTGTAGTATTAGTAGTCTATTCTTTTCCATACGTTTGATTTGATCGGCCATGTTTGGCCGATGACGGATAACGAATTAGGTATCTCCAAAGCCTTATGCCTTGATCACACGTACCGAGCAAACGAGCGAGACATTGCTCTCGGCCGAGTACTCGGTACATGTAAACACAGTCTCGGCCGAGAAACATTTTACTGTCACGCCCGTTTATTCGGTAAGTGTGATCAAGGCATTAGAAACAACTGACGTCTCTAAGTACAGCCATTTACAATCAATAAACCAAACATTTCTCACACATACATACAGGAAAAGCCAATCTCTATGAAACAATAAATTTCATGCAACATCATGGGGTAATGCATTGTACTCGTAAAACATTATAAATATTTTACAACACCAACCAAACCAAACCAAATATTTTAATAACCAACGTTGTTATAACTATAAAACGTTTTACGTACTTTTTACATATCATTGCACCAAAATCAATAAGCTAGCAATTTTACTATTAGACGCATTCAAATAATTTTATTCTAAAACTCCCAAGTTATAAAATATGTAACCATATACTTCTTATAATCAGAAAAGTTTTTCAAAAACTGTTGCTTTCTACTAAATTTTTAAAAAAGTTCTGCACTGTATATATAGTATTATAGATACCTATAAAAGTCGAGAAGAATAGATACATAGCCAAAAGGAAATTGCAGGGAGCCGATTACAGTTTTAGCTATACTAACCTATAACAGAGATGCAAATATCGAGTATGTGGTCTCACCACATCATTTGTATTAAACACGACTTTAAGTGCGGCTCTGGATCAGTAAAGCTTATAATTATCAGATATTTTACTAATTCTTTATTAATTATCAATAAATAATAATCTCATTAAAATATGTAGTTCAATTTGGTGTTAAATACATCAAAAGTATATAATATGAGATTCTTAATCTTAATATTAGTTCGATAGACACAGATGTGATGATGATGATGAGATGTGAAAATATTAAATATTAGCCTTATTGCACTTACGATATAGTTTAGTTTTGTTTAAACATTAAATCCTAAGTTCTAAATGAAATGAGACGACTTCAGTTTTACGATGTTTTAGTAAAAACGCGTAGATATAACAACAATAAGGCAATATAAGGAACACATTTCATTAGCAGTGAACAATTTGACTTATAGTAACATCAATTCTTAGTTTTGGTGAAAACTGACCACGATATAATATGAATTCGGCTTAGCATCGCGATTTATACATTAAAGCATGCTAATGAATATATTGAGTGATAGATTAAGTTAGTTGCCGTTATCTGCTCTATGGTCGAATGATATGCGATTTAAATTCAAAAATTCCTTTTTTAAGTACTTTATTAGGATTTAGTTTCTGGGAAAATGTCGAAGTGTTGATGCCTACACTTCAGTTGGATACTCGTATTTGCTATGTGTAAACTTGACAACAGTCTGTCCTTTTCACGCTTTATAAGAAATGAAAAGGACAGACTGATATCAAGTTTACAAATAGCAAACACGAATAGGCAAGTGAAGTGCCGACATACAAAAAATATAGTGCTAAAACGGTAATTTTATTCCTCTAAATGAGCGATGATAATTATATAATACACATAAGTAACTTTATTTCCTGTATTTCAGAAACGGCTTTAAAAATCTGGGTAAACTTTTGTATTTAATTAAGATTTTGCTTTTTAAATCTATCTCTATATTCAATCAATATATTTGTATATTGTGTAAAAAAACAAACTTCGTCAGAGAACTAGAATGTTGACTATGAATTGTTATAATCTTTCTTCAGATATGCACTTAATCTAATGCAGTAATGTTGCCATTTCTGCAAACATGAATTTTATTATAGGCTATTATATATTCTCATTGAAATAGCGTTTTATCATATTTTTATTATTTTTAAATAAGTATAAATTAACTATGATTTCAAAAATCATCATACGTCGAGACGATAATCGAGCAATGGAATAAATAATGAACACTTAATATCTAAAACTGTAATCGTTTAATTAAACCATATATGATTAGGATTGTTTATAAATATCGTACATAAATACTTTGTGCCTAGTACAAGTTTATGTACTATTAATAACTATTATCGCCTCAATTTTTTTACATTTATAAAAAACTGATGTATTTGTTCGATACATTTTCAACCTTATTGTATGGAAAGATAAACGAGACGATTGTGGCTAACTTGAGGCATCAAAACTCACGAGACATCCCGAGACAGGCCAAGAAAGAATGTCTTGTCCCATAGACTCATGGAATGGACTCCGCTCTCCCTATTTAACTATGCAAATATAGTGCGATCAATCCCTTGAGTTAAGTAGTAAGTTTAGGGTATAATGGGACTGTCGTACCGTCTGGTAAAGTCCCTAAATTAAATAATATAGAAAATGTATGACAGTGACGATGCGATAGGGAAGCCTAGAGTTACATAGTTTTTATTACATCCATCTCGCCTTGTCGCGGTAGCGCGACGATTTTATTACGCACTTGTAAAGGATTTCGTTGATCAGAAAGGGCTCGTCCTTTAACGTGGGTATCCTCAGTACCATTTATATGACGAATTTGCGCTGGAACTGCTAAGCGCAAATTTCCTGAGACGTTAGTTTATACGTGCGCAGGCGCAGGACCGGCGGAGCCATCCGTAGCGTTGGCGGCGATGACATGTCGCGACAGGTCGGCGATGTCCTGGTGCTCCCCGTGAGCGGCGAGATCGAAGTCCGACCCGGATAAAGTCGCGATATGGTTCCAACTAGACTCCACCGGATCATCTATAGGTTTATAAACAAAATGTTATAGCCCAAATACTAAACGAGGGAACAAAAAGGGTTATTATAGTCCTCAAGGTAATATAGGGACAAAACTGGTAGAGAAAAATTTCTACTTTAACAGATTGGCTGGAATTACATTGTATTTAAATGGTGCACTGGGCACGAATATACATAGAATGCGTCAGCTGTTGAATTCATTTCGCAGATAAGTGTAAATAGAGAAAAAAAATCTAGTCTGTCAACCCATGATTATAGTTAAAGAAACAGCAAATACCTAATGATAATTGGTATTGGCAATTACTGTACCACTTTTTTAATCACATAGTTGTTCATCAACTAATGTTGGAGCAACACAGACATTCATTTTTGGTAAAGTATAATAAACTATATAAATAAACATTTTGGTAAAGTAAATAATAACTAACTATAATAAACTTGCAAATGAACTTGGAAAGTAAAGATAAAGCTGTCGATTTAAACAGCACGTGACCACGTTTTTTTCCATCGTGTCTATTTCAAATGCCTGGTCTACAAGCAAACTATCTGCCTAAATACTCGAAGAAGCCAAATACAACACACTATTCAAAGTCCACCTAAAAAGCGATGGCATGAACTTCGTGTGAAGCGCAAACATATGTATTTCAAAAGAACGATATTTGATGCCGCACTTCACTTGGCTATGCGTATTTGCTATTCGTAAACTTGACAACAGTCTGTCCTTATCGTTTATAAGGAATCAAAAAGACATACTGATGTCAAGTACACAAATAGAAAACCCGAATAGTCAAGAGAAGTGCCGGCATGAAAAAAATTGTTGTAAGTCCCAAACTTAACGATTCATTAAGATGCGAGTTACGATTAGTACCTCTATTATTTTGAATAAAAACTTGTTAGTGTTATGCATACCTTGTTATGTTTAATGGTCATTCAAAAATGCTGTTATTTATGTAATGATGTTGGTGAACAAATTCGTTAATTCTTTGTTTATCCAAATATAATTGTGTAGTACGAGTGTTACAATTATTAAGTGAGTTAGCACACTTTTATGCAAACTTTACTGTGCTGTCTAAGATTACAGAACAAAAGGTTATGTAATCTGAGTGTACTGTATTCTATCTCCATAAAGTAATTGTAATTATTATCCAACAACATTATTTACTTCAAATTCGTTTAAAATTTATAGCAAAATAAAAATCCACTGTTTATGGAGTTTAAACTACATAGTTTCAAACAATTCATGGTTTTAAAAAAACGAGTGTGCTTATGACAACACGACTGAAGTGAAACTTCTTTAGCTCCATCTGTATGTATACATATGTATTTACATATTTCATTTACTTCCTATAAGAGAAAGAAAGAAAGAAAATGTGCTCACGCACTACTTTCTCTTGCTTATATTCCCCATTCAACTACCGAACCGAGCCTCGCCCGAACACACTTTTCGTAACGCGTAACGCATTCAAGTCAAGCGTGCGTAAAGAAGTTTCACTTCAAAACCATGTCAAGTACTTACTGACGAGATGAGAAGTAACTGATGTGATGAGTTACGATCCACAACAGACAGCCTACGTGTTTCTTTACATTCATAGAAAGTCTGTATTCGCTATGTGCGAAGTACATGGTGGGGGTATAGTGAAGCGATCGCAGCGCTTATCATGGCAGAAATACGCAACAATCCGGGAAAGTAAAGTCAATTTGCACGGAGTTCGTAATAAACAAAAATTTTTTTAAATGCCTATTAATAGATGTTGTTGTGTTGTGAATTGCAAAAATAAGGGCACAAATAGTCTGTGTATATATTTCCTACATTGGACTGGAAATTAAATCAAAGAAATAAATGGATAGATGCCATAAAAAGAAATAAGTAAGCGAAATAACCTTAAATTATGATCAATTTTATTTGCGCTATATATTTTATGTGATATTCATTATTGTCTTTATTATTTTAGTGTTGATGGGTCGCCATGGTATCCCAAACCTGACGACACAATTTGTAGTGAACATTTTATGGGAAACAAAAAATCAGACGAGGAAGAAAATCCGAGTTATGCTCCTACGATATTCCCTGAAATATATCGAAAGAGGAAGGTTAATGATTCACAGGTCCTAGCTAGATATACACGCTTGACAAAACGAAGAACCACAAAAGTCTCAGATACCACATCAAGTCAAATAATAATTGAAGAAGGGAGTGAATTAAATCAAACTCAACCTTTTATGATCGATCAAGGATGTCAAGTCAATATGTTTTCTGAATCGAAATTAAGAGATACAACTTTTATTTGTATTAGATTAATTTACAGTGATCACTGTGATCCAACATCAAGAATTTTAATGACAAATAATTCAAGAAAGAAAGATAAAAGCTGTGGCACTGACAAAAAATCGTATGAGGATCAATCTACCGAAACAAAAAGTCAAGAATTTGTTGGTATTTCATCAATAACAAATGATCAAGAACTCCTAGATCCTTCTGGTGTGTCATTTAGCAATTTTGAGTTTTTATTAACAAGATTAACTATGAGAAAATGTACAGTTTCCACTAAAGACCGACTTCTGATTTTTTTGATAAAAATGAAAACTGGCTTGACATTTTCAGCATTGAGTGTGTTATTTGGTGTACAAAAAAACCACAATCTCACGTATATTTCATTCGATCTTACAAAATCTAGCTTGTTCAACTGCTAATTTAATCTTTTGGCCGAATAGAGCCACCGTACAAGCACCAATGCCCAAGTGTTTCAGTCCAGATTACATCAATACAAGAGTTATTATTGACTGTACTGAATTCCGAATTGAAATCCGACATTATTTAAATTATTATACAATATATAATAATTTTTATTTATCTTTACCTTACTATATTTACTAGAAATCAATAAAATACAAACTGATGTCATTATTTGGCATAATCCCGGAAAGTTGCGCATTGTAGGTGGCGCTACTGTCGTGCACATAGCGAATAGTAGATGTAGTAACATTGGGAGCCATCATCGTACAAATTCATTACTTTAAAGAGATAGAATCATGGTGTATTGTCTACTCGTGTAATTTTGAAAACTAGTGTTATTTTTTTTACTATATTATAAAACGAACGTGCGACAATATGTGTATTTATTAGTGTCGCTCACAATGCAATTTGACCATGACAATAAGAAATTCTCCTGTAATATTGAAAGTGTCGCATAATATATCTATAACAAATATATTATCAAAATTCGAATCTCTATATCTTTACAATAAGGTACAATATCCAACGACGACCGATATTTAAACTGCAAAAAGATCTCATGCAAGGGATTCTCGTATTGTCACAGCAAATAAATAAAAAACCACATTCCTCAAACAAGTCCATCATGCTGTTAGGAACTTATATCGTTTCTAATCACTCACATATCAGCGTTGCCGTCGCCGACCTGTTTTCACTCTCAAATAAATCGATCAGTAGAAGCCGCTTTAGATAAATAAACGCTGGTTTTGCAAGAACATCTACGTAGAGTTCAAGTTTAAACCGTATAATGAAACTTAGACAAGGCATTTTTTAAAACAACAACAACCTCTCCAATGTGTTGTGCAGTAGCAATCAGCCCCGGCTTTTCACGGGCGAAATTGATTTAACGCTATAAAATATCCCCTGGTTTCTGTAAATGGCAAATTTTTTGCCAACAACAAAAAACTCCTGTCTGTGGTGATGGCAGATTTCTGCCACGAAATGAGACAATTATTTTCATTTTTCATATTTTGTGTTTTATCATATTTAGTAATGGTTTTTAATTTAGACATCTAATATATAGATAATTTTGTAGATAAACTATTCAGGATTGATTTAAGACTTAAATGAAGCCTGGATGTACAGTAGAACTCGAATAATAAGAGGAAAATCGGACGGTTTCTTTTTTATTTTCCGGCCGTAAAAACAAAATGACGGCTTATATAGCTTTTCTCAGTCAGAAATAATGAAGCTTTCTTATAGTGCTTTTTTATCGGTTAAGTATATTTTGAGTTTATTCGTCATAAGAATACAAAAGTATAGATTGAGAAATTTGTTGCTCTATAGATAATACAATACAGTAAAAATACATAAATTGAATGACCTAACAGTATATCATTCTTTACATGTGAAATTAGGGTTTTATAAGAAATAGGACTCAATTTCTTATACTGTAGAAATTATACACCACATCTCATTATGTACGTCTTTAACCGTTAATAGATCTCAATAAAAATGTTTAAGAAATTGTAAAATGTATAAAAATATACAAAATGAAAGCTTTTTTGGATACATAATAGTGGTTAAAATGATATTGCTATTTTAAAATAAGCCTTGCATAAAATATACAAATTTTATAGCTTAAGGAGCTTTATTATTATTATTAACTCGATAAAAATATAAGCGTGTCGATAATTTTTCCCCAACACTATAGATATATCATAAATAAATAGATTTTCTTGCAATAACAGCAACACTGCATCGGGTATATGATACATCAGCTATTTTACAATGCCAGGCGTCCTCAAGCATTGTAATATCATCATTAGATTCACTGCAATAGGGTGTAAATTTGAACAGCAATGTGCTTTAGACTATATTTGCAAGCGAATCTTTTTACCCAAAAACCAAATTTACTTCTACCAAACTACTTTGTAAATTATTGTTAGAATATTATATTTTCGATGCAAAGATTTGACAGATAAAATATTTTACTTAAATACAGTATAAAAAGCCATAATTAAGGTACGAAAAGTATTGTATTTTTTGCAATTTGAACGTACATGTCATGTTAACAAAATTGCAAGTAGTATCAATTTCGTAACCTAAAAAATCAACAATGATAAAAATAGTATCTGTCAAAATTAGCAATTAAGACATCGAAATACACTTCAAAATTGAGTAAAATCAAGTGATTAAGGGAATTAATGCATACGCGTCTCTATTCTCAATGTATCAAACACACACAACACAGTTATTATTATACGGTCATTGTTCACACCTCATTGTTTTATAAAAAAAATGGTAGAAAATAATTTAAACATTCTTTTTGTTTTAACTTTTAATGCAGACTTCACAGCTGTTGCCTATAAACTTATCAGGCTACCTAATGATTTAACTAAACACCAGTTAAACATGCTTCTGTTCTGAAACAGACTTTACTGGTTATATCGAAAGTAAGACCCATAAAAGCTTGAAAACCGCTGATATTCCCTCAAAGATATTAATATCGAATTCCCCACTTTCGTCTCTTACCGGCTATCAAACAATTGCAATATCCCCATACGTATCATTCCCTATTAGCATCTCCAGGTTACACTCTTAAATGTCAATTAAAATGTAATGCTTATGCAAAGCGACGTGTTGTCTTAGGGCCTGCGCTGCGTTAAGCGAGAGCAGAGAGCTGACGGCCGCTGTGCGTTTGTTTCATGGTATTTCATAGAGCAGCGCTGCAGTGAGGCGGGTCTCCCATCGCAGCGCTATTCTACGAAATGTCGTAAAACTGCACGCGAAACAGCACAGGCCGTTATATTATTGTATTCTAATAATATCACAGATAAATCATTAACCCTTTTTAATAGTCCAGTCAGTATTGTCGCGAAATCCGTTTTTCCTCAAACAGCTGGAACTATGCTAAAAAGTTTCTTAAGATAGTAAAGAACACTTTACATAGAGAAAAAAATGTTTCCAACCCCGGGCAAGGGTGAAAACCACCCTTAATAATCTATTTTTCCAATTATCTCAAAAAGTATACGAGATACGGAAAAAAACTTCAAATGAAAATTGTAGATCTTTTTGAAATCTACAAAACATTATTCCACCCTCTTGCCCCTATTTTCAATAGGGGAGCCAATAATCGAAGTCAAAGATAACTTTTTTAACTAACTTTAACTTTTTAAGTATTGAATCTTTGACTTCGATTATTGGCTCCCCTATTGAAAATAGGGGCAAGAGGGTGGAATAATGTTTTGTAGATTTCAAAAAGATCTACAATTTTCATTTGAAGTTTTTTTCCGTATCTCGTATACTTTTTGAGATAATTGGAAAAATAGATTATTAAGGGTGGTTTTCACCCTTGCCCGGGGTTGGAAACATTTTTTTCTCTATGTAAAGTGTTCTTTACTATCTTAAGAAACTTTTTAGCATAGTTCCAGCTGTTTGAGGAAAAACGGATTTCGCGACAATACTGACTGGACTATAATAGTAACTTTAAAAAAAGAAAGTTCAGAGTGCAACCTGACATCGTGTTATAATGCAATTTAAACTTTAAGACCGTTGCGAAGTTAGCAGCAAACGCAACTATGCGCAGATTTCAGTTCAGTAACACACATAAATTTGTTTACGACACCGATAATGAGGGTTTTCTGGAATGACATTCAGCAGGTGGCAGCACTGAGACCTATGGTCTACTCATCCTTCAAATCGGCTATGTCTTCATAGTCTATGGAACAATTTAAGTGCTCGTTCGATTAGTTCACGCCAAAAACTTTATACAAAAGACATCACAGTCACAGTGGCGCCAACTGGGGACTATAAATGTTCATAAACACCCACCCTCATTGTGAAAAACTATACCTAAGTACTTCACAAGAGAACATACTGCAATCGAGCTATGAACAACGACCGCAGTTAGTAAAAAAAAGAATAAAAGACAATCTCTAAAAAGCTCTGGTGCGTGCGTACCGTAACCTCGTATTAGCTAAACGGGCGTGGAGTGTGCGGGTGCGTGACCTGCGTGACCCCGCGCGTGGACGTCGCCCGGTGGCGGCAGGTCGTTGACCCCACACTGTCTGGAGCTCAGCGACCGCGCGCGCGTCTCCTCCATAATGAAGGAGTTGATGACGTAAGCCTCGCGCCGGATGGTGTCGCGCAGCTCGCCCGACATGTCCGGTATCGTCCAGCGGACGATTATCATCACTAGCGCCACCACGTTCTGTGCGGAATTGATACAAAATAAAATACGCATTTATATATGGAAAACCGCATCCAAATCGAATCAGTAGTTTTTGAAATAATCGCGGAGTAACATACAGGTCAAACTGAGAATATCCTTTTTTGAAATCTGTTAATTATAATCATAGATAGTAGACCCCGCAGCATCTGGAACTCAGCGACCGCCCGCGCGTCTCCTCCATAATGAAAGAGTTGATGACGTAAGCCTCGCGTCGGATGGTGCCGCGCAACTCGCCCGACATGTCCGGTATCGTCCAGCGGACGATTATCATCACAAGCGCCACCACATTCTGTACGGAATGTATATAAAATAAAATACGCATTTATATACGGAAAACCGCATGGAAATCGGATCAGTAATTTTTGAGCTAATCGCGGACTAACATACAGATAAAACTGAGAACATCTTTTTTTTTAAAGTATGTTAATTATAATCATAGGTCGTTGACCCCGCAGCATCTAGAGTTCAATGACCGCACGCGAGTCTCCTCCAGAATGAAGGAGTTGATTACGTAAGCCCCGCGGCGGATGCGGTCGCGCAGCTCGGTCGACATGTCCGGTATCATCCAGCGGACGATTATCATTACTAGCGCCACCAAGTTCTGTGCGGAATTAATATACATTATTATAATCAAAGGCCGTTGACCCCGTCTCCTCTAAAATGAAGGAGTTGATGACGTAAGCCTCGCGCCGGACGCGGTCGCGCAGTTCGCCCGACATGTCCGGAATCATCCAGCGGACGATTATCATCACTAGCGCCATGACGTTCTGTGCGGAATCAATACGCAGTATTATAATCATGGGTCGTTGGCCCCGTCTCCTCCAGAATGAAGGAGTTGATGACGTAAGCGTCTCGTATCGCCCAGCGGACGATTATCATCTTTAGCGTAACCGCGTTCTTTGCAAAATCAATACACAGTATTATAATCATAGGTCATTAACCCAATCTCCAAAATAAAGGCGTTGATGACGTAAGCCCCGAACCGGATTCTGGAGGGGTGCTATATTAGCTATTGGATTTCAGTAGTCAAGAAATTGTGATGATGTAGGTGTTTGACAACTCCCAACTACTATAATCTTGAGGAACCTGAAAAGAATCTGAAACGACAATTTTTTCGCCTTATTTGTCTAAGTAGTACATTTATAAGAAATAGCTGCTTCAATCAAAATCTTGTGTGTAACAATATAATCTTTGTTGCCACAATAATGTACTTGCAATACAGACTTCGCTCTTATAACCGTACAATAAAATTGTCTTATCGTCAAAAACAAATTTCATCATCCAATTGCACACGGGTGAACAAATGAATACTCTATTATTCTAGTGTTATGGGCGTTTATTCTATAAGAAATTCTCACCTCAAAAACAACAACGAAGGCTAATCTTGCGCCGATGATGTGCCAATACCAGTTGCTTCGCTCGTAATCATCCCCCTCTGTGTAGTACCAGTACCCGGGATAGCTGAAAAAAACCAAATATGGATATAATTACTATGAATCTGTAGTATTATTGTTAGATGTAATGAAAGAACACTAAGATATCCTTATATCAAAATATAAACATTTTTAACATAAAATAAAATCCGACTTCATAAAAACAAAAACACTAAAAAGTAATATATATAATACATATTTAAAAAAAAATTTAAAGTCAAATTATTTATTAATTGGAGTCGGTGCCATGCCTATTAATAGATCTGAGTTGCTATTTACTGATTGGGTGAGCATGGCACCCACTCCAAATGTTAATTTGACTTTAAATGTAGATATAATAAGTAAAGAGTATGTATTATTTCTTACTTTTTAGTAGTTTTGTTTTTATGAAGTCGGGTTTTAATTTTTGTTAAAAACTTTTTTATGTCTAACCTGCGATCTCTCTTTAATGGTACCATCTCGCTAATAAACTCTTTAAAATAAAAGAAGAATCATCAAAATCGGTCAACATACCACAAAGATATGCGAAGATACAACAATAAAAAATTATATAATGTGTACATACATAGTGAGGTGCCTTGTTTAAAAACATCTATTAAAGTCTTCAAAATCTGCTTTAAATTCTGTTATTATGAAAATTACTAAAAGGTACTTGAAACAAGTTGTTATAGACTTCTAGATGTTAATTTTTTTTCCAAAAAAGATAAAAATAAGAAGAGAAATGTGTAGTTAAGCGAAGCGAAAAATACTTTAATTACAAAAAACAGTATAGTCATTTACACGGTATCATTACCTGCACATAGTCTCGTTGTAGGCTGTCTTGATGGGGCGGTACTTGTGGAACACGGTGATATTGAAGTCGGCCAGCGTGTGGTTGACGTAGTTGTCAAGCGAGCCCTGCGAGAAGTGGTACACCAGGCGCGGGATGAACTCCGACGTGAACGCTATTATGAAGCCCTACAGAATACAACAATAATCATTATCAGCCTATTTAGATCCAGTCCTTGGCAAATGCGGATGTCCTTGAATGCGGGCTCTTGTGGGGGTGCTTTGTTCAGCTTATTTTTGACCCCAGGCGCTATTATGATGTCCTACCAAATACAATGATGATCAATATCATCGGTCTATCATGGTCTCCAGTGCCGGGGTACAGGCCTTCCCTATGGATTGTATAGCCAGGGCCATTACCATACACGGTTTTTGAAGTCAGCCAGCGTGTGGTTGAGGTAGTAGTCGAGCGATTTCGCAAGAACAGGTAAACCAGGCGCGAAATGAACTCCGACGTGAACGCTATCGTGAAGCTCTAAGATATACAACAATTAACCTTCAATACACGACTTAGAGCAGCATTAAATAACTTTGATGACTCAAAGTGCGGCGGTTAAAGTAAAATTCTAAAGTAACATTTTAGAATGAAGGCGGGGACAGTATTTTTTTTTTTTACTTTTGCAATTTAGAACTACATACTTCAATATTTATTTATTTTCTGTAGCATTTATTAGTGCATAATTAACAATAATTTATAGTATTTCTTGCACTTACTCAAAAGATTTAACATATTAGAGACACTTACGTTGATGACAGACAGCTTCCCGACAGAGCCCAGGATCCGATACCACACGCCGATATCGATGACGCGCTGAGGAACGGCGCGCAGTTTAAGAGATACTAACATTGGTGATGAAAGACAGCTTCTCGATGTAATCCAGGATCCGATACCACACGCCGATATCGGTGACGCGCTGAGGAACGGGACGGCGACATAAGAGATACTAACGTTGGTGATGACGGACAGCTTCTCGATGTAATCCAGGATCCGATACCACACGCCGATATCGGTGACGCGCTGAGGAACGGGACGGCGACATAAGAGATACTAACATTGGTAATGAAAGACAGCTTCTCGATGTAATCCAGGATCCGATACCACACGCCGATATCGGTGACGCGCTGAGGAACGGGACGGCGACATAAGAAATACTAACGTTGGTGATGACGGACAGCTTCTCGATGTAATCCAGGATCCGATACCACACGCCGATATCGGTGACGCGCTGAGGAACAGGATGGCGACATAAGAGATACTAACGTTGGTGATGACGGACAGCTTCCCGATGGAGTCCAGGATCCGATACCACACGCCGATATCGGTGACGCGCTTAAGAACGGGACGGCGATATAAGAGATACTAACATTGGTGATGACGGACAGCTTTCCGATCGAGTCCAGGATCCGATACCACACGCCGATATCGGTGGCGCGCTGAAAAACGGGGCGGCGATATAAGAGATACTAACATTGGTGATGACGGACAGCTCCCCGATGGAGGCCAGGATCCGATACCACACGCTGATATCGGTGACGCGCTGAAGAACGGGGCGGCGATATAAGAGATACTAACATTGGTGATGACGGACAGCTTTCCGATCGAGTCCAGGATCCGATACCACACGCCGATATCGGTGACGCGCTGAGGAACGGGACGGCGATAGCACGCGAGCAGTTTGCGCGCGTCCAAACGCATCTCTAGCACGTTGTTGATGAGGGCAAATAGAGGGGCCAAAGGAAACGCCGCTACGAATATCGTCACGAACCCGTACTGGAGCACTGCGGACCAATAGCCCACACTCAGTAATAGCCAGTAAAAGGTTAGCTTAACACGCAACGCGCCAAGCCCTATACCTAACCACCAAAATTTGATTGTAATAAAAACATTTACCTCTTCCCCATACATTTTCTTATTAAATTCTAAAAAAGTTGACCAATCCCAACTCCAATACACCAGAAAAATCCCCTAGGGCAGAAAAATATTTTCGTGGTATAAATTGTATGAAAACTGTGCTCGTTTACTATACGAAACTAGGATCTGGGATGTGTTCGTGTATCGAAAAAGATACTCAAGTGTTTGTATAGCGTGTATCGAATATGTCAATACACATAGCGCTTAGCGTAATCTAGTTGATTTTAAGGAAGAGGTGTTGTTTTTATCTTCATAATGAAAATATTCAGGCAACTAAACCCTCATGTGCCTTATCTCTTATTGGAGTCTTATTCTATTGAAACTGACCCTTAATAATTATCATCAGTCAACATCAAAGGCCTTCCCTATGAATGAAATATGAAGGTTCATAAACCTACATGGGGTCCTAGTGCATGAGTGCAGATTTGTGAGTGCTAAGCTAACGACTACAGATGAAATCGAAAGTAAAGGCTCTAAAGCCTTCCGCGGATTGGTGAATGCTTACAAATGTAAAAGCAGCCTGGACCAAAGGCTTAATGAGCCTTGCAAAAACGAGATAATAAGTTTTTTACCATACATTTTATGACCTATCATTGCGAAAGTTGCCTTTTTTCCAAGATTGCAGACGGATTAAGAACTCACGGAGCGGTTTTTATTCAAAACACAGACCGCAGTTTTCTACATAACTAAAGGAAAAGAAAATACAAACACTTGACTAAGTAGCACAATTTGGAAATAATTAGCAAACTGTTATAAATCGATAACTTTTAAAATTAAAACTTACCCATTTCCAGGTATTCTGGAAACAAACCCATGTTTCCGAAGTCCACTAATTTGAAATCTTTTACCCATTGCATCGGACTCTTGATGCTGAAATTGGCAAGAGTGAAATAACAATAAAATTACCATCTTCTGAGAAAAGATATTACCTATATAGAAAATTAAGTAATCTTGAAAAAGTAGGAATGAGAGCATGTACAACATTTCACCTTAAAAAGGTTCTGTTTATTGACATTACCATTTGTTTTTAACAAACTTGATTTCCTCTACATCCTTAAATACTTAAACAAGTTCAAAGTCCGTTATAGTCCCTATGTGTCCGTTTTACTATTCTCTGTGTTCCAATAGTTGAAAGTCCAGACAAGCAGTTCAGCAGCAGCAATCAAAACAATCAGTACCCCTAGCACGAACCAATATCGAATTCGTATCGTTTGCGAGTCTGAAATGTCATTGTCAAATGTGTACTGATTTTTTCGTTCCCGTTACGTACTTTGTGGCACTGCTTTCAAGTTTCCATACAAAATTTGACATTGACATTTCGGTTTGCAAACTATTCGAATTCGATAATGGTTCGTGCTAGGGGTACAGATCTAAAATGTATCAAAACACAAACCAAAAATCACATAATATTGTTTCTCAAATACATTAACTCACGTCTTTTTCCTGCCTATCGCCTTGATGATGTTGTACCATTTGAGCAAGTAAGGCATCATCATCTCGACGATGGTGTTGATGAACTGCTTGCCCACCATGATGATGGCGAGCTGGATCGACAGCTCCAACAGGCAACCGCCTGGCGCGCACTGAAAACGAACTTAAGTGAATGGCCGATAATACAAAGAAATTAGTGATAGAATCAAAGGAAAAGCGAAATAACTTAACGCCACGCGCGTGAATTTATTACTCAGAAAAATAAGTAAAGCATAGAAGTAACCTCGACGACCTCCGTGGCCGAGTGTTTTATACGCCGGGTTACATAGTGTCGCCGACTTGAGAAGTCCCGGGTTCAAATCCCGGTGGGGGCAGATGTTTGTGTGATGAATACGAGCATTGGTACTCCAGTCATGGATGTTAAATATGTATTTCTATATAATTATAGGTACAATATATGTATTCTATCCTTTGCCCTAGTATTCCATAACACAAGCCTTACAGTGCTTACTTTGGGGCTAGGCTAATTGGTGTGAGTGTTGAAAATATTTATTTATTTGTTTATTTGATATCCAAGGATATATAAGAGGTAGGCATAGACATAGCGAATGGACTGAGCGTAAAATTAAAACATAAAATTTCAACTTTCTAGAAAGAGAAAAAGCGATGGTGCAGTTATACTATAGAAACGATTGACAGCACTTATCGTCCCAGTTTTACTTAAACTAACTAAGCTTTTGCATCGAAGGCACTGGTTTCGTAATAAAATCTTCTGTCTTATTTTGCTATAGATGTGAATTAAAAACGCTAAAAACTAGAAAAGCACTCGAAGAGCAAATAATATCGCTTTACACATCCATCAGACCCAACACTTAATAACAAAGTTTGATATTCTATCAAACAAAATTAAACTTTATGTCAATACTTTAAAGGTGGATAAATTTTTTAATTTTTAACCATTTATATTGGTGTTAATATATAGTAGGAATTGTAACTTCATCTTCAAATTTAATACCAAATTAATATCAGTACCCTTAATGAGAGTGAATGTGAGAGTCCGTAATGTTATTGTCAAATGTGTACTGATTTTTATTTCTCGTTACGTACTTTGTGGCGCTGCTGTGCAAGTTTGCATACAAAATTTTACATTGACATTTCGCACTAGGAAACTATTCGAATTCGATAATGGTTTGGATACAGGTTTAAAAAAAGAACTGTATGTCTTACCTCTTCCTGCCTATGACCAAATAGCCTGACGTAATCGCCAGGGCGTCCCACATATTTGCCTTTGAAGAACGCTATGTAAAATATCGATGCGTAATAGTTAACGAACTGAAGCAAATATATCTTCAGCGTGAGAGAGTCGTCGAATTCTGTCTGCGTTCGTAAAAGTTCTTTTTCTGTTAGCCACTCCGCTAAGTACTGGTATATCTGTGGAATTAAAGTGACTATAGTGAGAGCCTATAAATTCCTACTGGTAATTACCCCAACAGAAAAAAAAAAACTTCGATGGGTCACGGGGGAATGGGTTCCGTTAACTTTAAATAACAACTTTTTAGAAAAAATATGTTAAAATAATATTTTACAAATGTTACTCAAAAGTAGTTTTTCTTAGTTGTATTGAAACTAAAATAATGAGGGTAGCTACACACATAATCGGGCCGGTATAGTCGGTTCGACAATATTTGTGGAACAACGAAGCCGACAATAATAATTAAACAATCTATTTGTATTAATCACGTCAGTGTCGTTTCACGTTACGCGCTTTCTAGGCAGAACTGAAACCAGTGCTTTGCTCTCAGCAAGGATATCGGTGAGTTTTCGCCTTTTCCTGTCGTTGGGGCACACAGATACATAATCAGTAATTAATTCTATTTGTTTACTTGAATTTGTGTGCTGTACTGATGGGAATAAATGATTTATCTATCTATCTAGTAATTACTGCCGAACATATTCATGTACACATATTCGATTTTACCACCTGGCTATGCAGAATTATGCCGGTCCGCTTATGTGTGTAGCTACCCTAACGCAATAACAATAATTTATTGTTGCTTATCATTAAGTTAAGTAAATAGACAAAACCAAGGAAACCTACTTAAGTGATAAAACTTTAAAATTAATGGAAGATAGAAGAAAACTCATTGCAAACCAGACTAAGAAGGAAAACCAAAAAGAAATATCCAATCTTTGTAAACAGATTCGCGAAAATATGAGAAAGGACAGGACGAACAGAAGGAACAAAATCCTAGAGAATCACATAAACAAAACAGGAGGCATAGTAAAAGCGCTCAAAGAACTTCGAGAAAAAGGGAAAGAATGGATACCAAAAATGAAAGATAAAGAACGGACAACAACATCTCGCACCGAAATTCAAAATATCGCTACTAACTATTATCGCTCATTATACCAAAAACCTAGCCCCGGTCAACTAATATTACACTCACCTGAAAGAGAATATACAATAGAAACGCAGGAAAGCCTTTATAACGAAGATATACCAGAGATACTGCAATGCGAAGTAGAAAAAGCTATAAAAAGCCAAAAATTGGAAAAAGCTCCCGGACCAGATAGAATTACAAATGAACTAATGAAAGGAACAACTGAAGAACTAAGCCCAATTTTAACAAATGTATTTAACGACACACTACGCACAGGCATTATTCCCAAAAACTGGGCAGAGTCACATATAATACTTATACACAAAAAAGGTCCAAGAGATGAGATGGAAAATTACAGGCCCATATCTCTCATATCAAATGTTTATAAAGTTTTTGCCAAAGTAATTCTAAACAGAATAACAACCAGGCTTGACGAAAACCAACCAGTGGAACAGGCAGGATTTAGGAAAGATTTCAGCACAATAGATCATATACACACAATAAAACAGATCATACAAAAATACAATGAATATAACAAGCCAATCTATCTGGCCTTTATAGACTACTCCCAAGCCTTTGATAGCCTCATCCACAAGTATGTATGGCTAAGTCTAAAAGAGCAGGGGATTGAAAACACCTACATAAAAATAATAAAAAATATCTATGCAGAAAGCAAGGCTAGTATAAGGCTGGAATCCACGGGAGATGTTTTCCCCATAGAAAGAGGTGTCAGACAGGGTGACCCACTATCACCAAAGCTGTTTACAGCAGTACTTGAACAAATGTTCAGAAAACTAGAATGGGAACATCTGGGGCTGAACATAAATGGAGTAAGACTGAGTCACCTAAGATTTGCAGATGATCTTGTTCTATTGGAGGAAGACCCAAAAAAGCTGGAGTACATGGTACAGACCTTAGTCAGTGTAAGTAGGGAAGTGGGTTTAGAAATTAACTTAACAAAGACTAAAATGATGACAAACTCCACCCAGGTAGAAATAACAAAGAGTGAACAAAAATTCGAATATGTAAATGAATATGTTTATCTAGGCCAGATAATATCACCAGATGACCAAATGTCAAAAGAAATAGACAAAAGAATTGCGACTGGGTGGAAAAAGTACTGGGCTCTGAAAGAAGTGATGAAAAGCAAGGTACTGAGCATTAAGATCAAAAAGAAGACTTTCGATACATGTATCTTACCCTGCATCACATATGGATGCGAAACATGGGCCCTGACGAAACAACACAGGGACAAACTTGCAAGATGCCAGAAAGGTATGGAAAGAAGCATGCTAGGACTAAAACTAAAAGATCGGGTCAGAAGTGCAGATATAAGACAAAAAACCAATTTAACAGACATACTAGCACGTATCGATCAACTCAAATGGAGGTGGACTGGTCATATGCTTCGATGTAAAAAAGAGAAATGGAGCAAACAGGTGACAGTTTGGTACCCAAGAGACCGCATCAGGACAAGAGGACGCAAAGTCAGAAGATGGGAGGATGACCTGAAACTCACTGTAGGAGTTCACTGGATAAGAGTTTCTGCGGATAGAAAACACTGGAAAGAGTTGGAGGAGGCCTTTGCCGTAAGGCACACCGAAACCAGAGACATTCTGTAACAGCATGCATGTAAACAAGTGTTAAAAATTTATTTGTAAATCTACATTTTCGGAAATAAAAGGCTATATTATTATTATTATTATTATATCATTAAGTTTATATTCTGGAGCAAATACAAAAGGAAGCCGCCGTATTAAATTTTGCAGTTTCTACTAATGCTGCACTGACGTCACACGTAATAGTTCTAGTCAGACAGCTGCAGAGGCACTGCTATTAGTTCGACTCTATTGTTTATGCCGTAGATAAGTAAGCACGTGAACGAGTTTTTTTTTCTGTACTCTTTTTAATCTTGCCCTGTGCCAGAGGTAAGTTAAATGTTTTGAGTAATGATTTCTTTAGATACATATTCAATTTTAAGAGTTAACTGCAAACATTAGTAAACTTGACACTACTGCCATCTAGTAAAGCATATTAGAACTTATTAGTACACGTCGGTTAAGTTTATAACCTGCTTGGTATTAGTTTCCGTCTCTTCCTCATCTCCTCTTAGTGGATTCACTTGACATCTTTGAGCGAAGCCCTATGCGACATCTCCTCTTTGTATTTGCTCCTTGACAACAACGCACATAACTCGTTATATCTGCACCTTACTTGGCTATTCGTGTTTGCTATTTGTAAACATTACATCAGTCTGTCCTTTTCATTCCTTACAGAGCATGATAAGGACAGATTGTTTTAAGTTTACAAATAGCAAACACGAATAGCCAAGTGGAATGCCAGCATTGAATACAAACCCGTTCCAATACTCACATAGTTGAACACGCATATGAGGCACAGGTTGATGCAGGCCGCAGTAGCAGTGGTGAACATGATCGGGTTGGACGTTATGAGCACGTTAGAGTTGGTCCTCAATACAGCCGCGCCCAGTAACGACATGCGGTACAGCACGACGCCCAGTACCGCGGCCACGGCTACCAGCACCAGAAGTGCTACTACGCTGAACGACATGAGCGTGGCCGGAAGTCGCATCCTCCAGAACGGGACCATGGGCTCGCGCTGACCCGTCACCACGTTCAACTGATATGGAGACAAAAGATAACTACTTAGAGAGAGAACGTCTTCGGCTTGGCCACAAACTAAAAGACAAAATGTACTGAGCGACACTTGCATGAAATTGACGTCCCTAGAAAGATTGAAAAAACTGCCTTAACACAGACTATGGACCGCCATATCGCTTCTTCTCTCGTACGCTTATAAAACCAGTTGACCCGCAACGCTCAATCAGGTACTATGAGTGACGCGCCGAGCGGTAAGAACGAATGTGCTAATATGTTAGACCCACACACCATGAAACGAAGACCTCGGCGTCGGGACTAAAGCCAAATACGCGTAGACCGAAATCGATAAGAAGTCGTGGATCGTGAGTTTTGAGACACAGAACTGACGAGACGGTCTCACTGTGGGAATACGAGCACATTAGAGTTGGTCCTCAATACAGCAGCGCCCAGTAACGACATGCGGTACAGCACGACGCCAAGTACCGCGGCCACCGCTACCAGCACCAGAAGTGCTACTACGCTGAACGACATTGAACGACATTAGCGTGGCCGGCAGACGCATCCGCCAGAACGGGACCATGGGCTCGCGCTGACCCGTCACCACGTTCAACTGATATGGAGACAAAAGATAACTACTTAGAGAGGCCACAAACTAAAAGACAAAAGAAAATGTACTGAGCGACACTTGCATGAAATTGACAAGTCCCTAGATATACCGAAAAAACTGCCTTAACACAGACTATGGACCGCCATATCGCTTCTTCTCTCGTACGCTTATAAAACCAGTTGACACGCAACGCTCAGTCCATTATCTATGTATATGACGACAGCCCTGGTACTTTGAGCGACGCGCCGAGCGGTGAGAACGAATGTACTAATATGCTAGACCCACGCCACGAACAAAGACCTCGGCGACGGGACACAAGCCAAATACGCGTAGACCGAAATCGCTAAGAGGTCGTGGATCGTGAGTTTTGGGACAAAGAACTCACGGGACCGTCTCGCTCTGGGGATATGAGCACATTAGAGTTGGTCCTGAATACAGCCGAGCCAAGTAACGGCATGCGGTACAGCACGACGCCCAGTACCGCGGCCACGGCTACCAGCACCAGAAGTGCTACTACGCTGAACGACATGAGCGTGGCCGGAAGTCGCATCCTCCAGAACGGGACCATGGGCTCGCGCTGACCCGTCACCACGTTCAACTGATATGAAGACAAAAGATAACTACTTAGAGAGAGAACGTCTTCGGCTTGGCCACAAACTAAAAGACAAAATGTACTGAGCGACACTTGCATGAAATTGACGTCCCTAGAAAGACTGAAAAAACTGCCTTAACACAGACTATGGACCGCCATATCGCTTCTTCTTTCGTACGCTTATAAAACCAGTTGACCCGCAACGCTCAATCAGGTACTATGAGTGACGCGCCGAGCGGTAAGAACGAATGTGCTAATATGTTAGACCCACACACCATGAAACGAAGATCTCGGCGACGGGTTTAGTCCCGTCAGCCAAATACGCGTAGACCGAAATCGATAAGAAGTCGTGGATCGTGAGTTTTGAGACACAGAACTCACGAGACGGTCTCACTGTGGGAATACGAGCACATTAGAGTTGGTCCTCAATACAGCAGCGCCCAGTAACGACATGCGGTACAGCACGACGCCAAGAACAGCGGCCACCACTACCAGCACCAGAAGTGCTACTACGCTGAACGACATGAGCGTGGCCGGAAGTCGCATTCTCCAGAACGGGACCATGGGCTCGCGCTGACCCGTCACCACGTTCAACTGATATGGGAACAAACATTACTGTTTAAATAAAGAACTTTTAGTTGAAGATGCAGATTTATAGAGCTAAGGATTCCATAAAATACAGTGGTTAAATTTTTGATCTACTACAAATATTGACGAAGTTATGACCAAATCACTAAACGAATTTTCGGCTGGTCGCGTGGTGACCGTGTCGTCACAGAGCTCTAGCGTTTGGGCGTGAGCCTGCGTAGACGCTACTATAGTTCGACGGGAGTGAACCACGACCGAGCTCTGTGACGTCACACGTTTCGGCCGCGGTGAATATTGGCTACCATAAAATTAGTTATAAAAACGCAACGAATGAACCGATTTTGATGATTTAAAAAGTATATGAATTAAAAATCTTATTAGATCATTATACTGTTGATTTTGAGTTGATTTGCTGACCTAGTAATGACTCTTATTAAGGAAGAGCCGAAGCAATAGGACAGTCCATAGTTCGTCTAAATATTGGTTATTTTTGTCTCTTTCTAGAGAGTTGTCAACTTCATAAGTGTGTCGCTTAGTACATTCTTAATGTCTATGGCCACGACCGCCAAGAAATTAGAACAAATGTACTAAAATGCCAAGCTCTCAGCGACAAGACTACAGTAAAACCCAGCCTATCAAATGTTCGACGCCGACACCGCTGTAAGTCGTGGCTCGTGAGTTTTAGTTTTAGTTTAGTTTAACAACCGTCACACTCTGGGGTGTTGAGCCAACGATATTAAATACCCTAGTCCAAAAGGTACATTGGACGATCCACGGAGCTCCGTAAGATGAGCGCGTAGTCAAAAAACAATATAAGACATAATTTAAACATTGAAAGTCACCTTTAATGCATACTGTATAAGGTCTTAATTAAAACGAATGCATCAAAGAGTTATGACAGTTCGAAATGAAGGCTCGTAAAATATTACGACTTATTGCTATATGCGGAAGTAAATACCTTACCTTAGACCTTATGTCTTTGACTCTACGCGCAATTCTAAATGCGCTGTTAGTAATATAGCAGAGCCTGCTATATAACCGACCATGCATTTGAATATAACAAATATTTTGTATTAAATCAGGTCAATCATTAGGTGTTAAAAGAAAATTTGCTTCAAATGCGTCAAATTAACAAACATTGATTAGATACCTGTCGAAAAACGACACTTTACGTACTATAAATATTTTTTTGCATATTTTCACGGAGCTCTGCGGCATCTTATCTTTTCACCGGTCCGCGCGTGACTGTGAAATAAGAAATGCTTGAGTAGTGTTCAAGCGTTTCTTGTGTGAAAGTTTGTGAGTGTGTTTGTTACTTCTTCACGTCTAAACGGCCGGAGCGATTTTAATAAAATTTGGTATGGAGTTAGCTGACACCCTGAATTAACACATAGGCTACGTTTTGCTGTTTTGCTTCGGGAAAATATTCCTAATAAACCGCGGGTAACACCGCGGGACACAGCTAGTAATAGTATAAATGAAACTTCCAATAACTGACCTGCGTTCGCTTGACGTGGGCTAGCCTGGCCAGGTACTGAGGGCGGGGATGTTCTTCGTAAACATCAAACCCGGTAAGGTCCCAGCGATGCGTCATCTCCGCGGAGTAACGTTTCCATAGTTCCAGGAAGCATGCCGCTGCGATACAAACATAATAAAATATAACACCTGTTTTTATTCATTTTTTAATAAGCAAGGTAGCCAAAGGACTCCACCCCACCTGATGTTAAGTGGTGATAAAGTCGAAACGCGAAGATAGCTTGTACAGCAGTTATAAACTGCCACCAACCATCCTCGCCTTGCCGGCCTGCAAAAATGCTTCTCCACGCCTCTCTTAAAGGAGCCCAAATTGTAGGAAGGAGGGAACACGTGCGCGGGTAAAGAATTCCGCTTACGAATAGTACGACATAGAAATGAGTCACTTAATTTCTTTGTTCGTGTAGGAATAGAGGTCACAGTAAGCCTTTTTTTATATTATAGGGAACATACGAACTGACGGCTCATCTGATGGTAAGTGATCACCGTCGCCCATAGACACCTGCAACACCAGAAAGTATCACAAATGCGATGCCGGCCTTTAAGGAACGAGTACGCTCTGTTTTTTAAAGTTGTCACTGTATTCCACAGTTTTGTCGTACGTGGTACAAAAATTTCGACAAAATCGCAAGGTTGTTTGTTTGGTTAAACGCGCTAATCTCAGGAACTACTGGTCCATTTTCAAAAAATATTTTTGGGTCTTGTTGTTATCTACAATTTTTACTAGTATTTTTTTATTGCAACTTACCCCAAAAGCTCATGAAAATGGCGAAGAACACAGTGGTGGAGTTATCGAAGAGGTAAGTGACCCGACTCTGCAGACAAGTGTCCCGCAAGTCCCAGTAGTCGCAGAAGTAATCGCATAATGGGCACATCTTGATACTAGAGTTGTAGTTGCAGACATCCTCGCTATATAAATAAACGCCAAAAATAAAATTATTTTTACAGCTATGATTACATTGATTGATTTAGGATAAAATACAATTGGACTGCCGATTCCAGTAAGACTAGTAAAATAACAAAATCTACGAAGTTTTATAGAGCGATTCAATAATAGCGGCTGTGAAGTTAGCGCGAGTCGAGAAGCAGTAAACGAAATGTATGTGTACAGTGCGACAAGGATCTCTAAGAATGTAAGTGACAGTTCAGGGAGGGCGTCACTATCTACATCAATGGCATAGGAATTATGACGTTAACAAATACGGTGGCGCTAGTTCAAATTTTCGCCGCATTCAGAGAGATCGTTATCGCACTATGGTTACGCTTGCTGCTAACTTCACAACCGGCATAAATTTTGAATGGCGCTGTATCTCTTCGCTTCTCACTACCTTTTCTATATAAGTGGCACTAAATCACCTAACCCCACATGATGTTAACTGGAGTTGAATCGAGAATAGCCAATGCGAAAGAAAAGTCTGCTGCTCCAGACACCAATTTAACCCCAACACGATCTCCTAATCCAGGAAGCCCTGGAACCTTACTCAGTGACAGTAACAACACCATAAAAAGGTAGTGTTATTTCGGTATGATCTTCTGTAAGGTAAACCTTACACCCCGTCACCCGTCTGGGGAAGTAACCTCCAGGTTACTTCCCCAGACGGGTGCTTCAATTCGACTCTGATGACTCTGATAGGGATCATCATCATCAGCCTATTAATGTCCCCACTGCTGGAGCACAGGCCTTCCCTATGGATGGGATAGGGAGATTTGGCCATGAACCACCACGCGAGCCCAGTGCGGATTAGTGGGTGCTAACGACTGCAGATGCAGCCAGGACCTACAGCTTAACGTGCCTTCCGAAGCACGGAGGAGCTCGAGATAGTTAATTTTTGGTCACCCATCCAATGACCGTCCACTGCGAAAGTTGTTCAACTTTAACACGACACTCTCCCTCCCTCTCGCACGTCATGTCACAAATTAGGAGTGAAAGGATCTCACGTCGTAATTGCGATTCGTTTTTTTATTGGCGCGATACATAAAAATTATGATGATAATATTATCAACTCACCTCGGTTTGTTGGAATAAACAGTTGCGGCTGAATATATGAAGCATATCAAGCCCACTATGGATGCCGGTACCAACATGTGGGTGTAGAACCCTAACCACGCGAAATATAAACCTGAAACAGACCATCTTTTAATACAACTATTTCTGAAGCTTTAACTATCTAACTATCCCCTCTTGTGGGTGCTAAGAATTGATAAGGGGGGCGATAAGGCTCCACCATAGAAAAACGGGAGATGATGAGGTAGTTTAGAGAGGCGATAGCTAATTTTTAAATATAAGGTTAATAGTGATGTCGATTCTGACATGATTCTCTAAAGCTAAACTTAAATTTGATAACAGTGCATCCTTGTCCTTCTCTATACAGAATGAAAGGGTGAGACTGACTTTAAATTTAGTTTTAAGTTTAGAGAATCACGCCAGAATTGACACCAGTGTTGTCCTAAATCTAATATTCGAAGTTTAATCTCCCATATAGACAACCCAGTTCAAACAGGAAATCCACTATGACTTCCTCTTTGAATTTTGACGATCTCCGTGGCTTAGTGGTTTGTACTCCCGGTTTCAAGGTGTCGCTTACTCGAGAGGTCCCGGATTCTAATCCCGGTGGGGGCAGATATTTGTGTGATGAATACGAGCATTTGTACTCCAATCATGGATGTTTAATATTTGTATATAAATATACTTATATAACTATGTATCACTATATGAATTCTATCCGTTACTCTGGTATCCACTAACACAAGCCTACAGTGCTTACTTTTGGGCTAGGCTAATTGGTATGTGTTTTGAAAATATTTATTTATTATTTTCTTTCTTTCTCAACTTCTCTAGTGGTCGCAATCAAACACATACATTTTTAAGTTGACTTTATATTAGCTGATATAACCGAGTACTGTCGTTAATATATAATATATATGAATGATTTTAATCGATTGACTAATGAGGAGTCAAAGTGAGTATATCTGGTATCTTACCTATTTTAACGCCGAAGTAGTCTTTGACATAGTCCAAGGGTTGGTAATTGATGCACTTGGACACGCTCGCCCACTCTTTGTACAATAAATAACGCATTGAACCTGGAGTTTTGAGATCACCCTGCAAAGAGAAAATTTTATTGATATAAATAAAACATTTACATACCAGATTAACAGAAAAGGCCATATTTAGCCTTTCAGTCGGTCCCAATATTAAAGTAATAAACTAAAAAAAATATAGACTTAAATGCTTCCAATAAAAACGTCTTAGGAATATACTTATTCAGAAATTGATTGATTATAATAAGTAATGAGAGTTCGATAATTAATCTAATAAATATATAATAAATCTTACTATCTGAATGCGATAGTTCGAATTTAAAACGTTAATACAGGCGAGAACTTCTTGCTATTCAGGATGAATGCACTATATTAAGGTCGTGTAACGGATAGGCTGCGTTATAGGTGGCGTTGTTGATGAGTCTCGTGATGCCAAACGCGAAGTCATCGCCGGCGTGGCGCGAGAACTTCTTGCTGTTCAGGATGAACTGCACTATATTAAAGTCGCAACGATCTGAAGCTTATATCTTACGTCGTGTAACGGATAGGCTGCGTTATAGGTGGCGTTGTTGATGAGTCTCGCGATGCCAAACGCGAAGTCATCGCCAGCGTGGCGCGAGAACTTCTTGCGGTCCAGGATGAACTGCACTATTCGCGATCGGATGGAAGGCGTCCAGAAGCAGTCGGATGATGTGTCGAATCTACACCAATTCAATTCAAACATTTATTGCATGTCAAAAATTAGAAATCTTTATTTCGTTTCATGCGGTTATCGAGGTCTTACAGAATTATGAGATACAAGCACATGACCCCTGTATGGACATAACAATATTTAGCTTATAGATAAAATTTAATTAGGGGTGGTGACCAACTTTTTTCTTCACCTATCAGGTAGATTATAAAAAAGGTATGGGACACATAGTTTTTCTTTTTCAACATAATCATAACATTATAGAGATTTGTATATTAATTTGAAATGTCGCATGACGTCATCGTACATCATATTGGTACAATTATACATCGTATTGGTACAATTTTTACTTACAAGTGACGTCACGAGCCCCCACTTCCAAATTATGACTCGCATGAATGAATCTTTGTGATTCTTTAATAGGTGGCCAAAAGAAAAAAAATGTGTGTATTATTTTTTAATAATCTAACTGACGGAATCAATAGAATTTCGGTTTCTTTATCATCAATTTACTATCCGATTAATAACTTATCGATTTATTATGATTGAGAATAATAATAAATTGTTTGTAATTAAATGACTTAACTGCGAGTTATGTTCCATTATTTTTGAATATAATGTGTGTGCTTTTCTTTACTCACAAATATTCCTTGTCCTTAGAGTAGATGGCGGTAAGCCGCTGCTTCCTTTCTGGAAACTTCTCCGGATCCAGTCTAATCTTGGACATGAATCGGTTCCAACACGCGTCCGCCTTGTCTAGGAAGCTGTTCGTCTTTTCATGCACATCCTTCAGCGCTGAGAACTGAAATATCAACATTAAGACGTTGGTAATAGGACTCACTTTCAGAAGTGCGAAAGGGATACAGGAGTATCAAGTACTCGTTTTCAAGATGTGTGACGTCATAAATGAGTTAGTCGCTTTCAGAAATACGAAGTGATAAAGGAGTCACTAAAGGACACACTTACAAAACTGAGAAATCATAAACGAGTCATAAAACCAGTTTGTTTTGTTTGTTACAAAGTTTTTTATAATAATACGGCGTATGTTAAGAAGTCAGCACTAAGCAGAGCATTTTTGATAGATATTTATTAATAGTAATGGTAAAGCAAGAAATTACGAATATTTAACAATAATAATATGATCAACCAAAGAATGATTGAACAATTTTATCATTTTATAAACATTATTTTTAGAGTTCATTTTCAAATGTCAATAAAGACACTATTTGTCCTGCGCTTGATGCGTATTGCATCAACGATTATAATAACGAAAAGAGAAAAACTTATTTTCTGTAAACAAACTTCATGGTTGTTTTAAACCTATGAAACCAAATTTGCAGTCATAGAATTGAGTTGCATTTATCTATGATATCAATTATAATATTTTTCATAGGCCGTCTCATTAATACCCTTATCCGTGTATTAATACATTTTAAAACATAACAAAAAAGCTCATTGTGTAATACCGTATCACAGCAGATTATTGGATGATAAAAATTACTTATCTGTGGATTATCCAGAATGGTACATCGGTTTAAGCGTTTATAACGGCAAACAAATTATAAAATAGTCACGCTTTATAGACGGCTTATATCTCAGACCATTTAATATAGGTACTTAAGAGAGTGGATACACTAACACAGTGAAAATACGCTTTTATTGCCTGTGTAAAACCTGTTAAGCAATGATAAATTGTGACCACCAAGAGTCCTTAACCGTACAATAATAAATAATTAGATTCAAATAAATGTAACAAGAGACATTCTCATTTTGTGACGGGTATTGTACCTACTTAATTCAACGTGTTCACATCACACTTAAAGCAAAAAACATCATTATTTCGCATAACAATGTCGTAACTATGTTAAAATATAGGTACATATTTTAGTTATAACAATGACAAGTTAGAATGCAGAGGGTAATCAAGATAAAATTTTCACACCAGCTTATTATTATTTACATTGCCACTTTAAAGTATTTCGCAAGTTATTATTGATATATAGTTATAGTCCGGCCGCTCAGAGAATGCGTTTCTAACATGTCGTTATAGTGATAGCATTAGAGTTAATTTTCGAACCTCTGTTTTAATTAGATCTAAAGTGTACTTTATTCTGTCGCCATAAGGAACTGAAACGACCTGTCAGAAACGCATTCTCTGAGTGGCCGGACTATAGTAAAACCACCACCAAATTGTGTATTTTCTTTGGCGATAGTTAAAATGACCGTTATTCGGCACACACGTGCACTATTACATGTCCTGGCACAATATGAGTCTTTGGTGAGCAAAAATATCCGTAACATTATAATTTGAGATATAAAATAAAAAGAAATGCAACCATAACGTCAAACAACTCGTACTAAATACCTTTGTGATAAATATAAAACGCGGGCTACATGGTGGTAAAAACTGTTGTAAACAGAGGTGCACTTGCTAGTTTATAAGCATGGACGGCTGTTGTACACCAAATTTCGTTTGACCCTGCAACGTCTTCTGTTTACCGGCAGACATTGGTAACTGCGCTTTTGTACACGCCGATATAATCGCTGTAATTCATTTAGCCGTTTCTTGGCAACCACATAAGCGCAGTCGCATCGCTGCAGCCCGCGAGCGCGCACATATATTATTACGCTCATTTAAAATGACGACTTAAAACGAAGGCGATATGATCACCAAACTGATCGAAATATATAACGATATGTAGTTCCTCTGGGATTTTGCGAATAAATACTATAAGATGCAATAAATTAAATTAAATAGAACCAGATGCCAACGAGGACTCCGCAAATAAGAACTTACTAATAGATTGGTTGAAATCTTCTTATTATATATAGAACACAGAAAGCTACGTAAATAAAGGTACCTCAATTTAAATGACTAAGTATTAGCCGTTCCTTAAGCCAGCGCATAACCCATACCTTTTTTTTTCTCGCTTGCACTAGCAAATTTTTGAAAAGTTAGGAGCCACATTGTTTTTTGTATGCAACCGTTCCTTACACGAGTTCGGAACACACTGAAGTTGTGGCCGTGTTTGCAACCATGTAGCCGCATTGCTTGCAACACAAGTCAAATCAGTCATCTACTTAACAACGGGGTTTATCACCATGTAGCACGCGATTAACATTATTTCATATATCCCTTATGTACTTTACTGTATATAGACTTTCGAGCGTTCAGTTTAGTATAAGTACATAATTAACGTAGACGACGAAGATCTAAATTTTGTTGTTAAAAACATCAAAACGATAACACGTCCAATTATTATACACATCGATTCACAACGGTTCATTACGATAGCTCTGAAATATTGGCAAGCGTTTACGCAACGAGTGGGGTGTTAGTAAGTAAAGCCATGCACCTGCACCACCGTTCGCGTCTGCCATACCTTAGACATATACATTGCGGCGTTCAGTATCGCATTCGTCCGCCCACTTTTTCTTATCTTACTGCAATCCTACGAACGTACACACAATACAATTGTTACTGTGCTCAAAACAACACAAGTGATATTAATGGCTTACATAAATTTTCTTGTTGCATAATTGCTCATACATATATTTTTAAATAATGACCTTTATTAGTATCAGAAATATGTCGACCCGCAATTTGTAAGTTCCGATTTTATTCACTAGGTGTCATGCAATAGAAATATAGATAAATCGTTCCATATAAATAAAAACATAGTATAACAAAGTAAATATACAATACATCTTCTATATTAGCTTATGGTTCATAATATTTGATTGTACTTTGATTAAAATTCTATGACTGGTTTTAATTTTTTGCCTATAATCTCAATGTATCTATTCAGGGTAGTGTACTATCAGTAGTTGAACAACTGCCAATAATACCAGCTTGAAGAAATGTGAAATAGTAAACAACTGATAAACTTTCAAGGATTTATATTTTTAGTCGAACTATTTACTTTTTAGTCGAGCCAATTAGAACTTTTGTATGATTCGTGACAATTTCTTTTGAGTGTATTTTATTTTGCCCCTTAGAATTATTTTTTTGTACTTATGGAACAAACGACTTAAATCATCCGATTCATAATTGAAAATGTATCAAATATTATTTTGATTATTATGAATTATGTTGTAAAAAAAATCACATAAAAGGCAACAGGCTGGTACCTATAGTCGAAGAAATTGGTTTTCCATTTGGAAGAAGACAAGGTGCTAATTATGTTTTGTTATCGCAATCACATTGGGCTATGCTCTTGTTAAAGTGCGTGACGTTTCATATGTAGGCAGAATAAAGTTTATTTTCGGACATATTTTTTGTACTTAATAGAAAATTCTAAAGTGTACTTTATTCTGATAAATTTAAGGAACTGACACGACTTGTCACGATAGCCACATAAAGGCGCAGCATAGCACTTATTATTTCTCAATTTAATGTAAGAGGAGAGTGTTTACTAAATTGAGCGTAAGACAGCACTATGACTATGCTAGTCATTCATTAGAGAATTTTATTTTTATTCCATTGCGGAATACAAGTGACATACTAAATTCTTCAGACTGCTTTTCGACAAATTTAATCATACAAGTAGTAAATTTTCCATCAGCAATTATTCAAATTAACATACATTTATAACAATAAATAAATATAATTCACTACAACCACGAAGCAGTAATAAGCTTAGGGTACAAGGGTCGCTATAGTTTGATACTAAAGGCCATAACATTAGCACGCGTACTACATCATTACACGTTGACTTGAATTATTTGTATAATTTAGTTAAATAAGATACAGTACCTTCATCGGCATCCTTAGTTTCAATACTTCGCTGTAGTCCCTCAAAACTGTAATTGGTGCGTGTATCTGAAAAAAGGAAATAAAATAAAAGTAACTTTGTCTAATTATTGCTCCTAAATTTAAAGGCGAGTGTCTCACAGCCAAACGCGACCTCTGTCTGCAAAACCCTATAACCTGTACTTTCAAAACTCTTTACACTAACCGAAAAACACCACATCAACTTTTATCCTCGAGCACCACAATTATGCATTATACATATATTCAGGGTGTTACAAAAATACAAATAAAGATTGAAGGGCCAACGCCCTTGATGTACTTCAACAAGTACATCATATAAGCAGTCTTCTCTAATTTTCTTAAAATATTTGCATGAAGTTTTAACTTTTTATAAAAACAGTTATTTTTAATGATCCTCGAACTAATGACGTGTCTTAAAAAGATCTATATTTTTATTAATAATTAAAACGTTAACGTTTACATTACATAGTAAGTTGACAAAAGAGCGTGATAAAACGAGCTATATATCATTTCACGGAGCTCATACTAAGGGCCGGTTTATTACAGATACAATCCTGAACTCAAACCATCGTCTGGCTGCCTTCCATCCATAGTACAGGAGATGCCTCATTTCCAGTTAAAAATCTGAATCTACTGGTTTCAGGATAACACTGAGCCCCAAGGCCGGATTTAAGGCGGGATTGTGGGCCAGGGGCCCCACAAAAGAAGGGCCTCTTACAAACGACATAAAAAAATAACCAAATTTCGACGTTTCACCAACCAGGGTAGAGAGTGCAAATCGTAAGTGGCCCCAGGCAACAGATTTCGTTGCACCAGGGCCCTCATATTTCTAAAGCCCTGCTGAGCCCCCATTCCCAATAGCCGTTCCACTAAAAATAGGCATACCATACTTACTAACTACTACTCTCTTTAATTCCTTCAAATAGTTCCATTAACATTCCAATTACGGTCTCCCTGGTGTGAGTGGTAGGAACACCGGTGTCAAAGAGTCACCTACTCAGAAATCCTGGGTTCTATATCCGGTTGGGCATATGTTTGCATGATGTTACCTTTTTTTTGTCTTGCTTGATGCTTTACGCATCCTTCAACAACTGGGGTATCGAGAAGGTATCTGGGACTCCTCCCTGCTCATTTCAGCCAGCCCTGGGGCTCGATGAAAGAAACAGGGCCCTATCTAATGCCCTGAACAAGGCCAGTAAAAACCAGACAATACTCCTGCACCGGTCACCCGGCACGCGTTCTGAGGACCGCAGTCGGAAAAGCGGGTGTGGTCGTGGCCACGACCATACGTACGACATACGCATGTATGATGTTACCTACGAGCATTTGTAACGAAGTTGTGGCTGCCATAAAAATATATTAATAATAGAGGTGATGACGGGACTAAATAGAACTACGAGTTTACTGTACGTAAACGAAATTTTATTTAGTCCGTAAGTTAGATGAGCAATAAATAATGGACACGTATTTTTTCTTTGGGCAATCAACCAAAAAATGACAAAGTTATAGCGCGTCAAAGTTTGGGAGTAGGGGCTCGTGACGTCACTTTTGAGTGAATTTTCACTTATAAGTGTACTCAAACGTGACGTCATGCGACTTTTCAAATCAATATATCTCTGCAATGTTTATATTATGTGAAAAAAGAAAAAACACGTGTCCAATACTTTTTGATAATCTACCTGATAAACGAAGAAAAAAATTAGTCACCATCCCTATTGTAAAGAAAAGCTTGTGTTATGGTATTAATCCCATAAGTTGGGTGTTAGTAATATTTATTAATTATAATAACTTAGATACTTTAAAGTACCCCCTACGAGGTGGACCGTCGATCTTGTGAAGGTTGCGGGAAGTCGATGTATGCGAATGGCGAAGGATCGAACTATATGGAGATCCTTGGGGGAGGCCTACGCTCAGCAGTGGGCGTCGTACGGCTGATATGATGATGATGATTTACTCGTAAGTACCTTAACAAAGTGCAGTCCGTGTAGATTCTCTGGCGCCTCTCTCTCGAGCTGCAGCCCCTCATTCTCCAAGTTCTCCTCGAACACCTTCCTCTGCTCGTACGCCTCAGGTTTGGTGGCGTCCTCCTTGGCGGACTCCCATACTAGCACGTAGTCTATGGTGCGGACGCCATCGTTGAATGTGAGCGATGGATTGTTAAGTAGGCCACCCATTATAATTCTGTGCGAAAGAAATGGTTTATATATAATTTAGAAGAGATATTGTATTCCGGGCCGGATTAAAGACAGGGCAGGAGGGGTTGTGACCAAGGGAGAGTGTGCCCCGTAACAGATAACAAAAATCAAAATTCGACGGGTCTCCTGGTAGTTCTCCAACATGAAAATCATGATCACCCAGTTTTTGTTTGAAATAATTTTGTACTGTTATTAATTTTACCATTAATTGTTCTGGAATTGACTGGCTAAAAGTAGTTTTACCATAATGAATGCAATGAAAAAATATTACAATGAACAATGATCAATTAAAACTGATGCGAAGGGAAACATAGTGATAAGAGAATATTGCTACCTACATTTACTGATCAAAGCACATTTAGTAGGTAGTAATATTGTTTTTTTTTTTGTATAAATTATTCAATTTATTCACAAATGCTTAAAATACACCCAACATGCGAAATGCGAAGCCAAGTTAGTCGAATAACGTTAGAAATTAAAACGGAAATGTTGCGACCGTCACATGAATACCCAATTCCCAATGATGATGTCAACAAACATATATCATAATACATTTAGAGCATATGTTCAATTATATTTGAATACAAAAAACATCTGAACGAATTTCGCATTTATGCCAATTTTATTGACTGTGTATTGAACCAAACGTACTTAAATAAGTGTACAGTCTCGCACAAATGTATGAATGCAATTAACAGTTTACTACAGTGGGACGGGGCTAACGATTTGCTAAATCTGTACATATATTTTCAAGACTGTGACTGCTTCTTATCACGGACATGATTGAATTTTGAATAGCGTTAATTTATTGTTTTATTACAACACCATTCAACCGATAGGTGGCAACAATAAAAAAACAAACTTATTTTTATTTACGATCCTACTAATCCGTTATCCGCAGCTACTGAAATGAAATGAGCGTAGGAACATTATATCCAGACTCAGATAACAAGCTAAAACCATATTTATTTTTAAAATTTAAATACTTATCTACTTATTATCAATAAATATAATTATATAATTTTCAAAGTACTTATCGTATGTGGTTTATATAGGTAAACAACCGTAGGATTGCCTTTTTTAGCTGAACGTGTTATTCAGGATGGCAAGAAAATATGATTAAATATTTAACATGCTAAACAAAATTAAAAGGAACGGGGACAAAACCTAACTTTTGAAGGAATTGACCTGAGAGCCTTTTCGTTTCTATTAAAAGTAAGACGTTTTTGAATTGTTTGAGACTGATTATTCGTTGTGACGTGACTGAATAGGTACTCTGATGATTCAATGAAATGCTGTTAAAGTTATCAACGATCATGTAGAAATAGGAATTTATTCGAACTAAAACAGTGGCTGTTAAGAATCGTCGAATTACAGGAAAAAAGTAACTAAGTGGTCGAGTGAAGGAATTGTGTGGAACAAAGTTGTTTAATTTAGCACGACTGCTGTGATGCCCTCTTCTTTGTTATATGTATTTTTTTAATTAAAATTGAAAATATCGTCATTCTGTAATGTTTTTCCAAAGAGATCAATCTGTGCAACCTCTTAATGTTTTCCAACCTTCTTGAAATTAGGCATGGATAAGTTTTATATCATTGAGACTCGGAGGGCGAGCTAAGTCGGCAAATAAATTATTTTTTTTTTTTTGCCTAGCAAAATGAAACACCCTATTGTTTTATTTACGCAAGGTGGCTAGCAGGAGCTGGATGCGAGTAGCCCAAGATAGATCTCAGTAGCGTGCAATTGGAGAGGCCTATGTCCAGCAGTGGACAAAGATGGGCTGTTCATGATGATGATTGTATACATATTTATTGGCTGCACCGTTTCATTTTCTTTTTCTAGAGGGTTGCCAATTTCATGTAAGTTCCACTCAATCCATTCTTTATGACTACAGACATTAAAATATATAATCTAACCTCTTATAACACGGCCTCTGTTTTGTGTCATGTTCTGTAGTCGGTTCTAATGTGCATAGATGAGTCACTGATGACTATTATAACAACGCTGCATGTGCTAAAAAGTTTGTTCAAATATCTTAAGTAGATATACATGGAAAATGTTTCCGTTTGCTCATTGTAAAAATCCATAAGGCATTATACCTACTTGTTTTTAATAGTTTCCGCGCACACTAATTACCTTCACACCAATCGTTTATTTTTATAATAAACTAACAATCGAGGAATTCTTAGATAACTAAGTTCAGTTAGGAGTACCTAATATCTTTATTTTGGTCGAAGCCTAATACTCAAAAATCATTGTTTTTTATCATGTCATCAAGGTCGTTGCGCGGGTGTGATTCAGTGCTTGATATTTATATCAACATAATTATGTGCGTACGGTCAGCCACACAATATGATCAAGATCTATAAATTGAATTCATTTTCAATGTGATGTATCACGACGTATAAAATTCATAATAATTGATTTTTTATATATAAAGGTTAAAAAAAACAGGCATATGGTTGCGATACCTAAGTTTCACTCGCAATCATGCCTACTCTAATTCTATCCCCCGCCCCCTATCTTCTTTAAGGTTCAGGTCACTTATTCAGACGGGAGCTCCACTCAAGCAGGAAATCCGCTGTGGCTTACTTCACTTAAAATGACTGACAATAACTAAAATTACCTACGTGTCATCAGCGCACGACTCTAAGGCGCACGATGACTGGGTTTGGGAAAAGTGATAAGGTTTCTAATTATATATAACGAATTCCGTTTCACAACTAAAATTAAAATTCGAGAAACATTTTAAGCAGTGTTTTTACTGTCAGAAATCTATGGAAGCAGGTTTTGTCTTTTATCCTGTTGGCGTTGGTCCAATACACGTCTGGCGTACTCACGAGCAATGGTTGGCGGTTGGCTTGCCATTACCAGTCACGTCTGGCAGCGCTTCCCCGCCGCAGGCGCAATCCTCAGCGGGACGCGTGGACGCCTCGCTACCGTTGTCCCTGCAAACAGCTACACTTGGGGACGGATTCCATGCTCAACGATCTATGCCGTTCATTCATAAAAGTCATCTTAAAGATATTGCTGTTATTATAAGTAAATAAAACGCTATAAAATACATGCAGTTAAACATGATTAACTTAGGCAAGTTTATCCGTTAATTACCAACTACCACACAAGTAATAGAATTACTATATACAAAAGAAATAAAGTATGAAAAGATAAAAAGGAAATTTGCGCTTCAATGAGTGTCTATTGATAAAATCGTTCTTTAAAGGGTTCAAATGGACAAATAATTGAACCTTGACCCAGCGGTTTATTAATGATGCTTCGGTCCCTATACTGTACCGGCTCTTGATAAGTAAAAAGATGTAATTTTTATTTAAAAGAACGTAAGAATAAATTTAATTCCTTGAGTCGAGTAGGTAGTGCATTAAAAATATTTTATTTGTAAACAACAAAAGCTGATAATAATAGTACATTGATATTTACTTAAACACGGTGAATCAATGCTGAATAATATATTAACATTTTAACACAACATGATGTCACAAAACTAGAAAAAAATAATACGGGAACGAAGTACGCAGTCTAGTATTGGAATGGAATGAAAAGATAGCCAGTTAGCTCGACATTAAATAAGGTTAACCTAATATTGGTAGAACTCATAGGGTAAAACATTAGAAATACACGAGGAAAGGGTAAAGTTAAAGACATTTACACAAACAAGTAGCTAAATATGTAATTAGTATTACTGTTTTTATAAAACTAAAGTCATTTTCTGACATAACGTCGTCCCGAGTCTATAATCGCAATGCCTCTGACTTCGATTGGACGATTAGAACTAGCACTACAATTCAATCTCCTGACCACTGTACCCTATACCCCCTCATTAATAAACGTAGAATAAGCTTAGATTAGTTACTCCAGGATTTATCTCTGTTCATTGAATTACAAATTGCACTTGAGTGATATAATACGGCGTAACTGGTCTAAGCCTATTCTTCGTTAATTAATATGGGGGACTCATGACAGTTAAAACTAAAGAATTATTTAAACAAACACGACACATAGTTAGATCAAAGACATTGAAAATATTAACTCACAACACACGTTAATACAATACAGGTATCTTATACAGCATTACGTTAGTTGCAACAGCTTGTAACAAAAAAAAATACCGTGGCATCCTAAATTTTGAATGTTCAAAATCTATTGTAAGTACTACTATTTACTACTTGAAAACGGAAATATAATCAGATGTATACTTCTAATGCACGCACGTAATGCTCGTTAATAAACATAATCATTAACCAGTTTCGTGTAAGATGCCCATTCTAAAACATCAAAAGGGACTCGGTCCTTTTTGCTGTTATTACGTGTCTTTTCCACGACAGAAAATTGAACTACCTACATTTCAAAACAAGTTTGTAATGTAACACGTAGCAATTACGGGTCATTAAACTACTAATAGAAACACACCGTACAGAGGCTCAGATTGGGCACAATAAACAACTTCAAATTGATCTTGAAAAATATTACATAGAGGTGGTTCCGCTATTGAATCAATGGCGATGAAAGAATTGTCCCTCATCCCTGGCACTTTAAGAAACCCTGCCTAGAGTTTCTTAAAGTGCGGTCCATGAATCAGAAGCCCTCAATATTCTCAATTGACATTAACATTTATGTGCCAATTAGTAATTTAAAGTGATATTTTATTTCTTTTCCTAAATTATAATTATTAATGTGTACGTGACTACGATGGCGTCAAGAAAGAATATTGGGGATACCTTTACGGTCGTAAAGTTTCCGTTTCGTGGCAACAGGACTTTAATACTAAGCCGTTACTGTCCGTTCGTCTGTCTCGTTGTCGGCGAGCTATCAGCCATTGAAAATTGGCATGGACCATGATAAATAGGATTTCCACAGTGCCACATACAAAACCGAATTTTTCAGGAGATTTTTATAAACCTAACAATTGCTGTATTTTTATTTATTTATCAAACGACTTGAAAAAAAGGATGAAGGTCTCAATTCGACTGCTTTTTTCATGTTTGTTTATATCAATTTTATCTTGTACAACACGCACGTAACTAACCACAAATCTTTTGAGTGCGAGTACGCTCACATTCTCTCGGTATTTTTACTTGATCTGTAAGTAAAGCACACATGTTTTCATGTAAAACAGTTATTAATAAAATAAAGCTGTTGCAAACCAACGCGCTCACTCACCGGTCAGTATTCATATCCTGCGACATATTGTCCTGGTACATGCTCAGAACAGACATGGCCTGCAGATCGGCCATGTTCCCCTTCGTTTCCTTCTCCGTCTGATCCAAACAAGAAGAATGGAATCACTTTCCCTTGTTGACTTGAGAAAATACTTCATTATCAGCCTATTAATATCCCCGCTGCAAGGGAACAAGCACTTCCCGAGTAGGGAGAACGCGCGCCTCGTGCGGATTGGTTTATACTAAATGTTAATGACTGCAGATGCAGCCGGAAACAACTGCTTAACATACCCTCCGAAAAAGCTCGAGATAATAAATTTTTGTAGTCACCATCCAACCTTTACTTTTCATTCATTCATTCATTCATCATCAGCCTATTAATCTCCCCACTGCTGGGGTACAGGCCTTCCCTATGGATAGAATAGGGTGATTGAGCCATGACCACCACGCGGGCCCAGTGCGGATTGCTAACGACTGCAGATGCAGCCGGCACCAATGGCCTAACGTGGCGTCTGAAGCACGGAGGAGCTCGAGATAGTAAATTTTTGGTCACCCATCCAATGACCGACTAATGCGAAAGTTGCTTAACTTCAACGATCACAGCCGAACGCGCTAACCACTTGTGCCATCGAGCTCCATCTTTTATTTTTATTGTTTGGGACATGCCCTTCGGATCCTTAACCACTGGGGGAGCGAGAAGAAGGTATCAGGGACTCCTCCCTGCTCATTTCAGCCAGCCCTGGGACACGATGAAACGAGCAGGGCTCTACCTAATGCCCTGAACAGGGCCAGTAAAAACCAGACAATACTCCTGCACCGGTCATCCGACACGCATTCTGAGGACCGCAGTCCCCCCAATGCGTGTCGGGAGTGCAGATGTGGTCGTGGCATCCGATTTCCAACTGGCCACGCACCTGCCAAAAGTCACTATCCCACCTGTGATCAGCCTTTGCGAAAGTTCCTTAACTTCCACTGGATAGCCACTACGCAATGTAGCTCCTCGACAAAATAGTTACTTTACATAAAATTATATTTTTATTTTTTTAAGCATTTATCTGCTAGATGTTTAAAGCTAAAGAAAATTTTACTAGAACAAATTCCACGCATTCCACTTTACTTATGCTTGCCTAAAACACATATGGATGAGGCAAAAAAATATAACAAAATCACAACAGTTGCTCTATAGGCCTCCATCACATACTCTATCACAGAAAAGTATACTAAAAATACACAAATCATAATTTCAATTTAGTTGTTAAAAAAGTATCTTATTATTTTATTAGGTTTTAATTCAAATGTATCCAATCATACGCTTTTTGTGACGAAAAGATAAATTAAATTACCGACTTTATTAAAATAGCAATAACGCCGGCGACAGGCGACAATGCAAATTTCCCAATGGAATATTTCAATCGAATTGACTCTTATCTTAGTTATTAAATAGTCAATACAATGTTTTAAATAAATATTGACTAATTCAAGTACCTTGAAACCCTGCCGCCTCGCATTATGAACGTCGATCCTGCGCCTAGCCACATCAAATGATAAATAAGATAACACATCAATGAAACACCTCACAAACATTGCCTTAACGGCAAACAACTGAAACCAATACCGTGACCACTGACCTTGGCAGTTCACTTTTTAGCACCGAAGTTCAACACAAGAACGACTCACTCATCGACTCACTTGTTTGTCTTATGTACATGCACAATGAGATAACGTCAAAAATTCTTATATTATTTCCCACATTAAGATTCATCAGTCTCTTATCAAATTGTTCTATGCCATTGCAAAACCTTTATCATAATCAGTGTAAGACAGTAAAAGACAAGTTGTAGTCTAGTTATTACCATTTTTATATGTATTTTTCTTTCCAAGGTGCAAACATGACTAGTGGTGCTACGAAAAACTAATATCAACTAATTGCTTTGAGTCTATAATAGTGTCGTGCTAACAAAGAGACTTTTTTTGAGCATACAATAAAAAATTGTCTGTAAAATTTAGCTTCATTTTAAGTTGCACACATACACAAAAGTGAAAAATAATGTATACATCTCTTATCTATTAGACAAGTCCGTCCGTCTGTCTGTCTGTGGTGCTGTTTCAGCGGCCAAACCGTAAGAGATAGATAAAGAGAATATTTAAGTTATAAGTTAAGAATAGTCTGATAAGACTACAAACCGGATTTGAGTAACGTAGCACTTCCGGTTTTCGAGAAATCACGAATTTCAAACGAAACCGCACAAAATCTCCGAAGTTCTCAATTAATTTTTTTTTTTTTTAATCAGGTTTTGGTGAACATTTAGTTCACTGGTTTGCTAGTTATAATATAATTTACTTTGGCAATAAAGAAATAAAAGTATGGCTTCAAAATATACCTAACTTGAGCAAGTGAGACATAGCTATTAACGGGATTGTTACCATATACCTTGTTTTTTATGAGCCTCCGATATTTCAGCACTGTTGCAAGCACCATGATTACAGTGTAACTTACTTACTCTGCTTGCAACAGTGCTGAAATATCAGACTCATAAAAATCAAGCTACATGGTACCAATCCCGTTAATAGCCATAATGTTAGTGAGCATGAAAGTTTGAAACAATATAAGTGAGACATACTAAGAAAAAAATATAGATGGTGTTTACTTATTATATATTAAATATATTTATTTTATTATTTTGATAAGGATCTACTTGAATGCTACTAGATCTTATATTATTGAAAATTACATCATACTATTGTTCTACTTTACATAATATGTACTTAATGACAATATATTAAAAACTCTCTATTATCTTTTGAAATAAGCTTTATCTAATCAGATGACTAAGATACAATTTTAGTGATAAATAAAAAATTGTTTTACCTTATCTTTCCAGGCCTCTCCCCTTTATAGAGGCCAATATCACTTATCTATATTAGCAAATTACCTTGGGGATTTGCATGACATTGAATCATTCAAAACAAGTGTCATTAAGCTTAATGTACTGTTTTGATGAAAAATTACACTTTAATTGACCACTAAGAGAAGCTTGTTTGCTATTGTGGTGTAATAAGAAGGATGAACAAAAATATTTATTATATCAAACTCCTCCTTTTGTTGAAGAAATGTTAAGCCATTGGTGCTGGTTACATCTGCAGTTGTTAGCACAGAACAATCTGCTTCGGGTCTGGGAAAAGGATTATGGTTATACAACCAGTGCAAGACTAGTGATCCTACCTTCTGCTTCAGAGTATTAGGTCAGTAGGGGCATTTATTTGTATGATAAGTACAAATTTTAATTTTCAAATCATAGTTGTTAATAGTATTCCATTTAAGCATATTATTTAGTTTACAAAGTACAACAAATTCAGCTTAATTTGGGACTAAATAATTCTTGCAATTAAATTTATTATTATTTATTCTCCATATTACATTTACAGAGAAAGTCTGCACCTTAGAAGTGAAGACATTAATAGGCTAATGATGACTATCTTAATCTGATGTAAAAATACTGTTTTTAGATTAATAACTATCAGTTTATTACATAAACTAGCGGCCCGCCCTCACTTCGCTTCGGTGTAGACCTGAAGTGTAGACTACAGTTTTTGTTCTCAGGCTTGTATTATACACAATGACATTCATCTATGATTCTTCGTAAACCTGCATGCAAAGTCTTAGCCCGATCGGTTTAAAATTGACAGTTTCATACAAACTGTCATTTCCTATTTTATCCCCTTGGGGGTAGAATTGATCAAAATCCTTTCTTAGCGGATGCCTATGTCATAACATCTACCTGCATGCCAAATTTCAGTCCGTTCCGTCCAGTGGTTTGGGCTGTGCGTTGATAGATCACTATGTCAGTCAGTCACCTTTGAGTTTTATATATATAGATAAAGTAAACCTATTGAAAGCAATTTCTGTAACTTGTTTGCATATTTTACTAATATTGTGAATTGAGTGATGAGAAAGCTAAATAGATAGAACCAAATGTTGTTATATACCTATGAAATCATATTTTTTTTATAGGATAACAGATGGATTCTAATTTGATTATCCATATTGAAAGCATAGAAGAAGAAAAACATAAAAGTGCATCAATTGTCATCAGTCTCATAGCAGTAGGTGACCAGTAAAGTTTGAAAATATAGAATACATACTACCTATGTTTAATAAAGAAAAAACTACTGAGCATTGAGGAAAAGGTGTTGATAACTAATACTTTGATATATAGATGTATATTAAACATATATGAAAGGTATAATAATATACAGAAATAAATATTTTGTGATGCTTTCACCAATTTAATGCCACCTTACTATAGAAGAAAAAGAAATAGAAGAATGTTATTTTGATTTGTCGCATAAATGGCTGTTATTGCTTATTTTTATACATATCATCAGCAGGAAGGAAGCTATTTAAAAAAAAAGATGTATTGTTGTATTCTTGGTAAAGACTAAAGAATAAATAAACAACTGAAGTACCTTCTGAAGTTCTCCATCTCCATCCTGGAATAGTTGTTGGATAGCGAGGTCATTGTGCTGCGCGTCAGACAAGAAGGATTCCGTTTCTGCAACATCAGATCTTCTATGGTGTAGTTTCACACTACCGGTAAATAGTGGTGTCGTTATCTTCGGAGTAAACACATTCTCCTCAATTTTCTCCAAAAGGGGTTTTGGAACGTCCTCTTCGAGGGATGGGTCTCCGTCGGACATTACATAAAAACCAGTTAAAAAACTTAATTCAATCACCAATATATCCGGGATCCAATGTTCCTTTCATGTAGTATTAGTCACACATGAAGAAGTTTTTAACCAAAATTAATGTATTATATCTATAATGATTCTACATTAGCTTCCAAAGTTCGTACTTCCTCTGAAATTATTTTATGATACCCACACACGCATTATTAGTGCTATTTCCTTAGAATAATGGCTATTTCAGTGTAAAAATACATGAATGACAACGGAAAAGTCGGATAAAAAATGAAATGAAATGAATTTTGATTTTGACAAGGATTATAATATGACAGCTGAGTTGATTGATTGTCAGATGAAAATGACAGACGAAAGATGTACTACGTGGATGCGAACATGCCAAGGTGCGAAACTGGAGGGAGGATCACTCGGTCCCAAATGAGAGAAACACAACGGAGGCTACTTTACTTTATGAGTAAAATAACGACATTTTATCACCGTATTACGGTTTATTTATTACTAGCTGCTGTTGCCCCCGATTTCACCGCCGTGTAATTCGTTACAGGAGGACTTTATTTAGCCAGTTTAGGTATACACTTATTTTTCTTAGGTGTGCCATCTCCATAGGTTTCAGTACTCGAAGGTTATTCGTAAACTTGACATCAGTCTGTCCTTTTCACTCTATAAAAAGTGCTACAGTTGTTTATATTTATTTTTCATATTGGCAACTAATTCTGCCACGCCGCTAATGAGCTGTCACTTTGCGTCGGTGGCTGGATGGCGAATAGGTTGCCGGCGATTATTTCCTTTATTTTCACACAGTTTATTGTTTTCTTTATGTGAAATTTTAAGTGAAATTACGAGTTATTAATTAAAAATATGACTGCGGAAGTACAAGGCAGGATGAAGCTGCCTCAGCTTACATCCGATAAACAATTAACATTTTTAAAGTTGTCTGTTTTATCGATGGCAGCGATTTTATGTAAGTTTCTCACAATACAGAATGATTTTTATTATTTATAGGGCATCAGCACCAAATATCTCCGTAGGATAATAATTTATTGTAGTTAGTTTACAAATGTTATTACTTTAATTAATACCGTAAACGCATATCAGTAATATGGTGTACGTGTTTTTGTAGCATTCGCCACACGTCTATTCTCTGTACTTCGCTTTGAAAGTGTGATCCACGAGTTCGATCCATACTTCAACTATCGAACTACAAGATATCTCACAGAAGAAGGCTTTTACAAGTTCCACAACTGGTTTGATGACCGAGCATGGTATCCTCTAGGGCGTATCATTGGAGGTATGTTTATTTTTGACTTTGCCAATAACAGTTAGGGGTTGCCAACAGTACTATTTAACATAATATCTTTCAATATTATAGGATCATATACTATATTTCTAAAAAAAATATATAGTAGGTGAAACTACTACATTTTGCTTAAAGAAGACTTTTGCCACTATTAAGGCATAGAGCAGCAAAAATATATTCATTTAAAAATTCAAGTAAATATTTTAACTAAATACATTTTTTTTTTGCCATCTACTATATTGTTAGAGTTAACAGCTTTGAAAATACTATTTTTGATAGAAAAAAAATTGGTTACCCTAATAACAGTACACATTAAGGTTTACAGAGCTGCATTGAAAACACTGAGTTTATAAAGATGTACTCCTGTATTTATATTTTTTCCTATTTCCAAATGTCTAAATGTTGTATGAGAAAAACCAACTGCAAAAATTCATATTGGTTACTTGGCATATCATACTAGCAAGCCATAGTAAAGTTTCTTATTAACACAATAAGGCATCAGTCTTAGTAGTACGGTGGGCTGTTTCTGAAAACTCAACACCCGGTGCCTATTTTGTGTGGGAATGGGCATCAGTCCTGCCATCCCAGCTCCTCCAGAAAGCTCTGCAGTCCTCGGATGTTGCTGCAGGCCTCTACTAGTGTCAGCAGAGATTATCCCATGACATGACATATATGAATGACGTCCTAAAAGGGCTGTCAGATTAAGTTTTTATGGTGTGACCAGATTATTCCCTCTGCAAAGTTATTGTGGTCTGACTGTAGGACATTTTTGGTATGCTATATCTAGTTTATAACTTTATTCGCTGATAAGTAATTATGTATTTATTTTCCTATTAGGTACAATATATCCTGGACTTATGGTGACATCTGCCACTTTATACAACATCATGCAGTTTCTCAACATCACCATAGACATCAGGAATGTGTGTGTGTTCCTGGCACCATTCTTTTCGTCTTTAACCACTATTGTCACTTACCTGCTGACTAAGGAACTCAAGGTATAAGATATTTTGATTTATTCATATTTTTTATTCCTAAAATGTGCAAACTATTTTTGAGAAGCGAAGCTGTAAATGCATTATCTAGTGGAGACTCAATTTGTTATCAAACACCCCTCTATCCTTAAACAAATCCTACTAATATTATAAATGTAAAAGTTTGCTGTCTGATACTCAATCACACAATAACAGCTGAATGGATGAAATTTGGCACACATATAGTTTGAGACTTTGGACAGTTTTAATCCTGATAAATGTAAGGTTCCTGTGGAATTCTCAGAAAACTAATGCGAACATGGATGTATTTGCTGGTGGCCATTAGTTTAATATAAAATGACCCTTTGTTTATTAAATCTGAGGAGAGTTAATTCTGTATTATTCAATGTGTAAACTTACTAAGGTCTGGGAGGTTGCATTATTACATTGTCCTTGTGTTTATTTTCACTATCCTGTGTTTACAGGATATATAGAATAGTATTTTCTTTAGATTTAAACATCAGACTTACATGCTTAAAAAATAAAAATTATAACTATAATTGCTATTTCTTCTTTCAAATGTTTAATACTTGTAAAAGTATTCATTTCACATTGTGGGTTACCTACAATGTGAAGAAATGGCGCTGCCTTGCAGCTTAAGAATGGCTAGAAGAATTTCGATGCAGCTGTCAGGGCTGCGGTAGCATAATTGGTCAGTGCATTCGCCCGGATAGGGAAGGGTGCGGGTTCGAGTCCCGTCTGCTGCCTGGTCCGCGTGGAATTTTTTCTAATTATATTTTCTTTAGATAAAAAGAATTATCCTGTGTTTTCTAAATATTTTGTTAATTTTATGCCATAATAAGCTGTGTCAGTATTATAATGTGTTTTAAATAATGGCAGGATGAAGGTGCTGGCCTTGTAGCAGCTGCCATGATAGCCATTGTGCCAGGATATATAAGTCGGTCAGTTGCTGGTAGCTACGACAATGAAGGAATTGCCATCTTCTGTATGTTACTAACATATTACTTCTGGATCAAGGCTGTTAACACTGGTACCATTCTCTGGGCCACAATGACAGCATTGGCTTACTTTTATATGGTAAGTATAGTTTTCTATAAAATTATAAGTCGTATAAGTAGTTTTTATATAGCTTCACCTCATAAAGATACATTTAACTTGAATATAGCAAATGCTATGATTGATCTACTTTTCCTGACTTTAGTGCACATGATAATACTAATATCTGTAGGTCAATCGTAAATCATAAAGATGGAAGTTTCACACCAACAAGTTTTGTTTATAATTTGTTTGGTTTTTGCTCTTTCGTACAATCTTTTAAACTTAAATCCTCATATATATAAATTACGCATCACATTAACCGATTTAAATCAAATTTGCACACCGTGTGCAGTAAGGATAACTTTAAAGATAGGATAGCTTACATCTCAATTTATAGTCGCAATATTATTTTATTGCAAAATATATATTACTTTTGGGCGGTACGAAGTTTGATGAGTCAACTAGTAAAATAATATTCTTTACATTTAAAATCTAATTTGATAATCAAAATGTTAACTTATATCTAGATACACTTACAGATAAACTTCTAGATATAACTTAACTTTTTGATTACTAAATTAGACTAGACTCTAGAGTATCCACCTTGACTTTCGCTTATTGCCTTTGAAGTATGTAAGTTGTAAATATACTAGTTTACTAACTATTGTAAAGTTGTTAGGAAGAAGAGCGGAAGGAGTAGAAAAAAATATTGAAAAATTCAAAAGAGCTTTCAATAAGTCAATTATTTGAATAAAGTATAATTTTCATTCTACTACTAATGCAGGTTTCCTCATGGGGTGGCTACGTATTCCTCATCAATCTGATTCCCTTGCACGTGCTGGCTCTCATGCTCCTGGGCCGGTTCTCTGCACGTGTGTACGTGGCCTACAGCACCCTGTACTGTGTCGGCACTATACTCTCCATGCAGATATCATTTGTTGGCTTCCAGCCAGTGCAGAGCTCGGAGCATATGCTTGTGAGTATTTTTTTATTATTCACATGTTCTGATTTCTTATAGGACAATTTTTTGTAGCTCTTTACTAAAACTGGTTTAAGGGGGCCTGGGGACCATTGGCCTTACCGAAATGCTTTGGAAAACGTTAACGCTTACGATTTCATTTTGTTATTTCTAGCTGCCTGTGGTTTTCAAATGCCTCACGCTCTTTTTTTTCTTTTGCATTGGTAATAACAATATTAAAGATATTGAGCGTGAGGTATTTGAAAACCTTCGGCGGTCAGAAATAACAAAATAAAATCGAAGGCGTTCGCGTTTTCCAAAGCGTTTCCTTTAGGCGAATGGCCCCCCGGTAGCCAAAAATTTATTTATTGGCCTTCAGATTGGGATATACACAATATTCTTATGATATATAGCATTCCTAATCTTTAATACTACAAATAAATACTGTAAGGAATTAAGTTGTGTAAATTGAATGGGTATCTGTGTTAACAACAACACAAAAACCGTTTCTTAATTGACTTTTGAAATTTGATGAAAAACACACTACTTATTTCAATATTCCACTTACTTTCTTCATCATCATCAGCCTATTAATGCCCTCTCAGCTGGGGCACAGACCTACCCTATGACAGAAAAGGGAGATTGGGTCATTACACACCAGGCGAGCCCAGTGCGGATTGGTTGGTACTAACGACTGCAGATGCAGCCGGGACAAACGCCTTACCGTGCCTTCCGAGGCGCGAAGGAGCTAGAGATATTTGGTCACCCATCCAATGACCGACCATTGCGAAAGTTGCTTAGCATCCACGATCGCATGCCGAACGCGCTAACCACCTGCGCTATCGAACTCCTCCTTATTTTCGTTTTTTTTATTTGGCCGAGACAGCCACAGAATTACTGAATTAATTACTTTATTTATTATATAAACTAGCATATATTGTACACAGTTTAGTTATTAAAATCAAACAATGAATAGATATGACACTTGTACAAACACATGTGCAGAAATATTTAAATAGTGGGTTATTGTGTAATTTTTCATCTTCATATATCAAAATAAAACTGTATTATTTTGCAGCTGAATAAAAACAAACTGGTTTTTACACGCAACACCTGCCACTATCCTGACAATATAAGGGAATGAACAATCAAATAATGTATTTTAAAATTAATAATGTTCACTTAAACACGAAATTAGTAATAAGCCCAGAATTAGGCTCTCCTCTTCATTTTCTTTACAGCATAATAGGATAATACCCTTCTTATATCTAGTTTTAGAGATAGTATTGTGCCACAATCAGGCCTAATAGCCGTGTGTTCTGTTCAATAAAGTATTTGTTTTATAAAACTCTTTTACAATATATATAAAGCACAATTTAATAAATTTTAATCTTAATTTTTTTCTATAAAGGGGCCGGAACGTAAGGGTCAATTCATACTGGAACGATAGCGGCCGGCAACGACGTGGCGAGCACTTCACACAAGTGGTGTGAAATAATTTTAAACTTAAGCCACATGGTACTTATAAAGACTAATATCGCTTGAATAGGTCCCGAGGTGTCGCGAAAACGGCCGTAGAGACTGCGAATAGTTGAATTCGATCTAGATATACGTCACGTGTACTGATTTTTAGTTCTCCTTACGTCCGTTGTGGCGCTGCTGTTCAAGTTTCCATATAAAATTTGATACTGACATTTTGCACTCTCAAACTATTCGAATGCGATATTGGTACTAGTCTTTTAAGTGTATAAATAAAGTTTAAAATTATTTCTCGCGCGAAGATGCATATTTATATTGTATGAAAAGGACAGACTATTGTCAAAATACTTTTGTGTCCAGAGAATCATGCCAGAATAAGGCTCAATATCCGTATGGTTAAGTTTAGAAAACAATTGGATTCGTGTCATTTTAGGCCCTGGGAACGTTCGGGCTATGCCAGTTGTACGCATTTACACAGTACTTGCGAGCTCATCTGACGCCCGCGCACTTCGAGCTCATGTTCAAGGCTCTCGTGTGGACGCTACTCGCAACGCTGGGCACCGCTGCTGTCGTACTCACTATCACTGGTAAGACATACTTTATTATATTGTGGCGAATACGGAAGGGTTCACGTTAGACCCTAGGAACGTTCAGGCACACTTCGAGCTCTTGCTCAAGGCGCTCGTATGGATGCTACTCGCAACGCTCGGCACCGCTGCTGTCGTACTCACTATCACTGGTTAGACATATACTTTCATCATATTGTGGGCGGATACAGAAGGGTTCACGTTAGGACATGGGAACGTTCAAGCACTTCGAGCTCTTGCTTAAGGCGCTCGTGTGGACGCTACTCGCAACACTGGGCACCGCTGCTGTCGTACTCACTATCACTGGTAAGACATATACTTTCATTATATTGTGGCGAATACGGAAGAGTTCACGTTAGGACATGGGAACGTTCAGGCACACTTGAGCTCTTGCTAAAGGCGCTCGTGTGGACACTACTCGCGACGCTGGGTACCGCCGCCGTCTTACTCACTATCACTGGTAAGACATATACTTTCATTATATTGTGGCGGATGCGGAAGGGTTCGTCTTAGGCCCTGGTAACGTTCAGGCACACTTCGAGCTCTTGCTCAAGGCGTTCGTGTGGATGCTACTCGCAACGCTGGTCACCGCTGCTGTCATACTCACTATCACTGGGAAGACATATACTTTCATTATATTGTAACGAATACGGAAAGGTTCGTGTTAGGACATGGGAAAGTTCAGGCACTTCGAGCTGTTGCTTAAGGCGCTCGTGTGGACGCTACTCGCAACGCTGGGCACCGCTGCTGTCGTACTCACTATCACTGGTACGTATGATTTGAATATATTTTGACGAATACAGGAAGGTTCATGTTCGGCCATGGGAACGTTCGGGCACACTTCGAGCTCTTGCTCAAGGCGCTCGTGTGGACGTTACTCGCAACGCTGGACACCGCTGCTTCGTACTCACTATCACTGGTAAGACATATACTTTCATTATATTTTAACCAATACGGAAGGGTTCACGTTAGGCCCTGGTAACGTTCTGGCACACTTCGAGCTCTTGCTCAAGGCGCTCGTGTGGACGCTACTCGCAACGCTGGACACCGCTGCTGTCGTACTCACTGATAAGACATATACTTACATATTATATTGTGGCGAATACGGAAGGGTTCACGTTAGGACATCGGAACGTTCAGGCACACTTCGAGCTCTTGCTAAAGGCGCTCGTGTGGACACTACTCGCGATGCTGAGTACCGCCGCCGTCGTACTCACTATCACTGGTAAGACATATACTTTCATTATATTGTGGATACGGAAGGGTTCATGTTAGACCCTAGGAACGTTCAGGCACACTTGGAGCTCTGACTCAAGGCGCTCGTATGTCCGTTCGTCGTCGTCGTCGTTCGAAGTCGTTCTTACTATCACTGGTACGTATAGTTTAATTTTGCAACGAATACAGAGAGGTTCATATTAGACCGTCTATTTAAGTGCTTTAGAGTCGGTTTTTGCATTTAACTTGCTACAAATGCGTTCACGTTAATCTGTAGTAGAATGATTATAGCTCTTATTGCTATTTAATGAATGGACTTGCAATCTAAATTTTAATTTTTTTATGCAGGTAAAATCTCGCCTTGGACTGGCAGGTTTTATTCCCTTCTCGACCCATCCTACGCCAAGAACCACATTCCGATCATTGGTAAGTTTGTAATTAAACTACTGGAAACTGAAACTTAAGCGTCTATTTCGCTCTGGCCCTATCTATCTTTCTCTTTTCTAGAGCAGTGGGATATTTTCATATTGAAAGATTTTTTTAAGTTCTCTTGCAATTTTATTTTAATATACGAACTGCTAGTTTTTTATCTTAAGAAAGTAGTTTATTTTAAAGTTTTCTTACATGTTATAAATTGAAACTTATTTACTAATGTGATTTAAATTAAATAAAATTTAAACCTTATTCCCTCAATTAATTATAAGAGCTACTTTTCAGCGTCGGTCTCGGAACATCAGCCGACGTCGTGGTCCTCCTTCTACTTTGACCTGCAAGTGCTGGTCTTCCTCTTTCCCGCTGGGCTCTACTTCTGCTTCAGCAAACTCACGGACGCCAACATATTCATCATCCTTTATGGAGTACTCAGCATATACTTCGCCGTAAGTTTGACTTTTAAAGTTCTGTTTAGGTCTTTCTCTTTGGACGTTATGTCTACGAAAATGATCTTTATTAAAAAGAGTATAATAGCTGTTTTCGAACTACTTATAGAGTGCAACAAACTTTCTTATGATATTGCTGGATCGCAAATTACGTCTGTCGTTTCTTGTCGTCTTAAAATTTACCGGGATAAATGTGTTATAGAAGCAAGCAAAGAAAGATATTTATCATACTTTTTTAATTTCCTTCTTACTATGAAATGTAAAAGATAGCGGAATTATTAAACAATTAGACCATGGATCACAAATCCAAAAAAATGTTAACTATTACATATTAATGATGAAAAGCGAACCTGGAGCGCGTAGAGTCGATGTAGAGTGTCTCATTCCATCGACTCCGCGCCATGACCCAATAACACTTTGATCGCTGAAAAAACAAAACATCTTATCTCTTTCATACATAACACGTCCAGTTTTAATAGACCACTCTCTTTATGTTGTTACCAGGGTGTAATGGTGCGACTTATGCTGGTCCTAGCGCCGGTAATGTGTATAGTGTCCGGTGTTGCTGCGTCCAGTCTGTTGAGTCTTCACGTGAAAGACATAGAGCCGAAAGTTGAAAAGCACGAGAAGAAAAAGAAGCACGAAAATAACCTGGTATTCAGGTCCGAGGTAAGAGAATAGAGATCAGTTTGTTTCTTTTGTTAAATTGACTTCACGTTGCATATAATAATCGATTCCACATAAATCCCCCTTTCACACCCTTTTTAATTAATTCGCGAATAAAAAGTCTTTATCCCCATATCAAAGTTCCATACCAAATCTGTTCAGCTCCATAGCGTGAAATAATAACAAACATCCATACACAGTTTCCGATCTATCTATCTATTTAAATAAAAATTTATTGCGACAAAATGTATTTATGCATGTGGGGACTGAGCTACACGCATAATCGGGCCAGCATAGTCCGCCAGTATCGGTTCGGCAGTAACTACTACTGCCGAACCGATACTGGCGGTAAATTCAAAAGCATTAAAAATAAATTCAACTTTAATTGGTTTAATGGCGAAAAAAAGACATTTATTAATTTATTTTTATTTTTCTGTTAAATCGGTTGTCCCAATCCATATCCATATATGCAATTTTCTCTTTAGTTACATACTGTAAATGTCAAAAAGGTTAGCAAATAGGCCGGCGGGGCTGCCTGCTCATCTTGTACATGTTCCATTGTACGTGGATGACGTCAGAGACGTACTCGCCCCCCTTTCATAATACTTTGGTAATGTGTCGCGTTGTGGTCAGGTGGGCGCGGTGTTCGTATGCGTGCTGGGCTGCCTGCTCATCTCGTACGTGTTGCATTGTACGTGGGTGACGTCAGAGACGTACTCGCCCCCCTTTCATAATACTTTGGTAATGTGTCGCGTTGTGGTCAGGTGGGCGCGGTGTTCGTATGCGTGCTGGGCTGCCTGCTCATCTCGTACGTGTTGCATTGTACGTGGGTGACGTCAGAGACGTACTCGCCCCCCTTTCATAATACTTTGGTAATGTGTCGCGTTGTGGTCAGGTGGGCGCGGTGTTCGTATGCGTGCTGGGCTGCCTGCTCATCTCGTACGTGTTGCATTGTACGTGGGTGACGTCAGAGACGTACTCGCCCCCCTTTCATAATACTTTGGTAATGTGTCGCGTTGTGGTCAGGTGGGCGCTGTGTTCGTATGCGTGCTGGGCTGCCTGCTCATCTCGTACGTGTTCCATTGTACGTGGGTGACGTCAGAGGCGTACTCTTCGCCTTCTATAGTGCTGTCGGCGCGGGCGCACGACGGCGCGAGGATCATATTCGACGACTTCCGTGAAGCGTACACGTGGTTGAAGATGAACACGCCGGAGGTGAGAATTAACATGTTTTATTTCGTCATTAGTCTATTAATGTCCCTACTGTTGAGGCACAGGCTTTCCCTATGGATGGAATAGGAAGTTTGGGTCTTAACCCACCACGCAGATCTGGTGGGGATTGGGTGCTAATGACTGCAGATGCAGCCGGGGCCAACGGCTTAACGTGCCTTGCGAAGCATTAAGGAGCTCGAGATGGTAAATTTTTGGTCAATCATCCAAAAACCAACCACTGCAACCTTAACTTCAACGATCGCAGCCAAATGCTCTAACCAACTGCGCTATCGAGCTCCTCAATAAATCTATGTCAATATAACTATTCCCTTCATAGCTACACGTCATCACCACGTTTAACATTGATTTATCATCAACATTGTTGTTTGAAAGAAATAATGTCAAGTTAACTCATTGCCTCAATTTACCAAAATATCTTGTGTATAGATATTTGCTATCTGCTCGGAATCATTAAAATCTATGCAATTATTAAGATTATAATTCATTTATTGCGTCAGTTTTAACTCGGTAATCGGTCAATCTTCATAATTGGTAGGTGACTATAAGCTTTCCATCTTCCTCATATCTTCTATCATCTTCGCCCCAACACCTACAAGCATAAACCACAAAAATCCCACAACCTCCGCAGGATTCAAAAGTGATGTCCTGGTGGGACTACGGCTACCAGATAACGGCGATGGCGAACCGCACAGTGATAGTGGACAACAATACGTGGAACAACACGCATATATCCCGCGTGGGGCAAGCTATGGCCTCGACTGAGGAACGAGCGTATGAAATAATGCGAGAACTGGACGTGGACTACGTGCTTGTCATATTCGGCGGATTAGTCGGGTATTCGTCTGATGGTAAGTGATTATTTTCACTTGATTCATGTTAGTTCTTAACCATATCTAATAGGGTATTTGACAGTATTAAAAATAAAGTGCCAATTGTTAGCATCTGTGTTTAGAATGAATATTGGCAGGGGTTTTTACTATTTTTACAAAAAAATATTCATAATTTTACTAAAAACCCACGAAAAAGATAATAGTTTTCTTATCTTTTGTCATGTGACCCAAAACGCTTGGGAAGGCAAAGCCTAAAATGACGTCACACGCAAGTAAACTTCCGGTTAAAGTGACATTACATTGTATCGTTTGACGTTTTAATATCAGTCGTGTGACGTCACACACTAGTAAGACGCCATATTGTCCAGAAAAGCGTTTTCGCGGCAACTTGAAAATGGAGTTTTTGATTTGGTTATTTTTACTGAAATAGGCAACAGAATGATGAATATCCTTTTTACGGACTCCATAAACATTAGCCAATAACGTGAGATCGTTTTCTGAACTTGTCAAATACCCTATTGACACCGCCATATCTCGGAAGTTAATATGCAAAAGTGTATACGATTCAAGTGACATAGATTAGGGCAGGTAACTCACAAAACTACTAAAATCAATGTACATAAGCGCATTTTTTCGACGTTCATTTTGTAAATGACAGCTTAGAGAATTATCGCGAGCAACAGTTTTAGGCTCGTATTACAGAATGACAACTAAGTGTTGATCTTTACTTGAGTACAGTTAGAAAGGGATGTCGCTATGTGCTGTACATGGCTTAATTAAATAGTTTAATTAACACGGCAATCGGCCGACTGTCGGCATTAGGTATAACCCCGACATACGGCAAGCGGCCGACTGTCGGCCGTTTGCCACAAGCGGCACGCGACCGACATTCGGCCTTTCATCGTTTTTCTATCCTGCCTTCATTCATATATCAATTTTTAGAGGAAAAAACGGGCTAGCTATCTAGCCATTCATAAAAACAAGTGCCATATGAAATATTTATACTGTTATCTGTCAAAGTTCGTCGTTCGCCGTTTTTTGTCTGAAAAAAAATATGCCGTGTATTCAGACTATTTTAAGTGCTTTTGAGTGGTTTTAAAGAAAAAAACACCATGCCTGGTTAAGTTAAATACATTTAGTTACTCTATTTTGATGTTTCGTTTGCGGGTCTCCGTGAATTTTTTTTTTTAGAATTTTTTTGCAGACGCGGTCGCAAAAAAAATCAGCGAAAACTTAGGGGTACTTACCCTATGTTTTCATTTGATAATTTCGATAATAATTGTAATGTTTTAATTTTTAATTATTGAATAAATTATTCATGATTAATACTTCGAATACAAAGAATCCCTTGAGTTCGTATTTTTGAAGAAATAAAAAAAAAACAAAATCCGCGCGGTGGAACGGTCGTTCGAAATTCAAATACACGAACGAAATATTTTTTTATATTATTTTCTTGTATGTGAACTAGTAATTAGTTTTTGTTTATTCTAAAGCAAATTTCGCGTACATTTTGATAAAAAAAACTGTTTATCAAAATTGAAAATACTTTTCGTTTTATAGACATAATACTGAGATGACTGATTTGTAGGCGATTTTTAAATGCCTCGTTGTAAGTTCTTAAACCTAAAAAATATACAAACGTTATTCATAACAATCTTGGTTCTAATGTTATCTTAACACTCGGAGCTAATGGAGTAATAAATTACAGCCATTCAAACGCCCGGCGTAATTCTTATCGACCCACTTGAAATTTGATCTGTTTATACTTCGCGGTTTGTTTACATTAACGGCGCGCGCGCGCAATGTGACGAGCTGTAGGTATAATTAAATTGTGCGAGTATAGTATTTTATGTGTTTATTTGGTAAGTTATAATAGAATGTGCAAATAACCAAAAAATCTGGTAATAAAATTTTGAAATTTTGAAAATATACTCCATTTTACCCATCTAAACGCCTTTTTTTTATCTTTCCCGAGTTTACCGTAACGTAATTAAAATAGATTATAGACATGACGCATTGTTTAGACACTGTTTTATAGTAAATTTCATGGAGAATCCAAATATATATAGTTTGTGTAGGGTATTCTTACAAAATAACAGAGAAATCGGCAAAGCAAAAAACGACGAGTTTCACTCCGGGAGTGCCGGCAGAAGTGTAAACTTGAATATTAACGTTGTGCATTTTTGATATTTTGGAATGGTTAGGGAATAATTTTGCACAAATTGCTTTAATTATTAGTATAAAAGTACTATCATTTATGTGGTGGAATACAATATTTATTTATTGCGCTATCGTACACAAACATGACTTTTTTCTAGTAAACTTTTCTTTAGATTTAAACATCTAGCAGTTAAATGCTTAAAAATAAATAAAAATATAACTATAATTGCTATTTCTTCTTTCAAATGTTTAGTACTTGAAAAAGTATTCATTTTACATTGTGGGTTACCTACAATGCGAAGAGATGGCGCTGCCTTGCAGCTTAAGGCTAGGAAAATTGCGACGCGGCTAATAGGGCCGTGGTAGCATAATGGTCAGTGCATTCGCCCGGATTGCGAAGGGTCCCGTCCGCTGCCTGGACCGCGTGGATTTTTGAAGTTATACTTCTTTAGGCGCGTTATGAATAAATGATGAGAGTGAAATTTTAAGATGCGCGCGCATCACTGTAACACAAAATTTAAAAAATACTTTTGTGTTTACCGCACATTAAGAAAATCTACCAACAACATAGAAATAGAATCTCTATTTAGTGGGTGCTAACGACTGCATTGTGAAGGCCTATCAAAAGTATTTATTAATCTGGAACAACGGAACCAAAGCGCGATTCAGGAGACTACAGCGCCATCTCTTGACCATTGGTGTAGTAGAACCAAAAACCACATCTTTGTTTTTTGTAATAAAGTAACAGTTATAGGTATTCATATTTATAATATTTATCCACATGTTTCTAGTTTGTATATTCGGAATACGTGTTTGAGTTTCATACAAGTGCAAATCACATATGTTCTAATAAATTATATTCAGTAGCGATTTTAATTGAATATTTTGATTATTTATTTATTTTTTCAAATTAAAACTGAACTTAATTGACTGTGTCCTTTTCCAGACTTTTTATTAATTTATTGTAATTAATTATTTGCATGCAATTAAAAACTAATTTTAAACGATGCCAAAGAAAGATAACTTCTCACGCGCCTACATAAGTACACGCACCCATTTTTTTTTTCTAGTAAACTTGTCTTTAGATTTAAACATCTAGCAGTTAAATGCTTAAAAATAAATAAAAACTTGACAATTTATATTACATTAAAAAGATTATCTCAGAAAAATCAACTTACAGGATTCACATTTAAGCGCACCTAGCGACATCTATTGTAAAAAAAATGTCTTTTCTTCGCAATAAAGCTGCCATCTGGGCGTTCTACTTAGAGACTTATTATTATAATACGATAAAATAAAATATTACTATGTTTCGTCCAATATATTGAAAGTGAACAACCTTTACAATTTTATTGTTTTCGTCTTACGCCACGTCTCATGCCGCAAGTTTAACATTTTTTACCCATTACTAAAAAAAGTGTACAACGCCGCTTAAGAACTTTTCAATTCAAAACTCTGGACGCAAAATAGCAAAACATGTGACCTCACACTAGGAAGAGGGGGGACTCACAAAATCCTTACAAAAAAAACAAGTAATTAGCGTGACGTACTTTACGGATGACCCCATCTTTATATATATAATTCTTCTGTGAGTGTGTATGTCACTGAACTTCTCTTAAACGACTGGACCGATTTTGATGAAATTTTTTGTGTGTGTTCAAGGGGATCTGAGAATGGTTTAGATTCACAATTTTGTCCGCTGGACAACCCCTATTTTTTTAGGGCGGTACGAAGTTCGCTGGGTCAGCTAGTATTAATATAGATTATGGGTTATACAATTTCACATTTTGCCCGTAGACATAAACAAGTTCCTATGGATGGTCCGTATTGGCGGCAGCACGGATCGCGGCGCGCATATCCGCGAGGCCGACTACTACACTTCAGCCGGCGAGTTCAGAGTCGACGCGGCCGGATCCAGCACTTTGCTCAACTGCCTTATGTACAAGATGAGCTACTACAAGTTCGGACTCGTGTATACGGAGGGCGGTAGGTGTCTTATCTCCCTCATTCTATACAAGCTGTCTTCCTTACTCTTTATGACAGACTACTACACTTCCAACCGGCAAGTTCCGAGTCGACGCGGCCGGATCGAGCACTTTACTCAGCTGCCTCATGTACAAGATGAGCCACTACAAGTTCGGACTCGTGTATACAGAGGGCGGTGAGTGTCTTATCTCCCTCATTCTATACAGGCTGTCTTCCTCACTCATTATGACAGACTACTACACTTCAACCGGCGAGTTCCGAGTCGATGCTGCCGGATCCAGCACTTTGCTCAACTGTCTCATGTACAAGATGAGCTACTACAAGTTCGGACTCGTGTATACGCAGGGCGGTGAGTGTCTTATCTCCCTCATTCTATACAGGCTGTCTTCCTCAGTCTTTATGACAGACTACTACACTACAACCGGCGAGTTCGGAGTCGACGCGGCCGGATCGAGCACTTTACTCAGCTGCCTCATGTACAAGATGAGCTACTGCAAGTTCGGCCTCGTGTACACGGAGGGGTTAGTGTCTTATCTCCCTCATTCTATACAGGCTGTCTTCCTCACTCATTATGACAGACTACTACACTTCAACCGGCGAGTTCCGAGTCGACGCTGCCGGATCCAGCACTTTGCTCAACTGTCTCATGTACAAGATGAGCTACTACAAGTTCGGACTCGTGTATACGGAGGGCGGTGAGTGTCTTATCTCCCTCATTCTATACAGGCTGTCTTCCTCACTCTTTATGACAGAGTCTCAGAGACGCCCTCTAGTTGAGCCGTCTCCCTCACGTTCGAGTCGTCTAGAGACTCCAGAGGGAGAGGAGATCTCCCCCCGTGGAGAGATGCCATCCGCCTGGAATACCTCTAGAGGCACTCGCTAATTCTTGGCTTAAGGTCCCCTTAGGATCTCGTCGTCCCCAAACCCGCTGACGCTGTAAAGGTCATCTGCGACCAACATCATACACGCTCAAAAAAACCCCACTTTATAATAATAATATAAATAATATTTCCATCACTCACACCAATTAGTCTAGCCCTAAAGTAAGCACTGTAAATCTTGTGTTATGGGATATTAGGGTAACGGATAGATTATTTATACTGTACATATATAAAAGCATATTTATATAAAAATACACATAACATCCATGACTGGAGGACAAATGCTCGTATTCATCACACAAACATCTGCCCCCACCGGGATTCGAACCCGGGACCTCTCGAGTCGGCAACACCATGAAACCCGGCGTACAAACCACTCGGTCACGGAGGTCGTCAACTTTATGTTATTGTTTTCTTTTTTTGTATTTTTTTTTGTGTGCAATAAAGAATTTATCCATCTATCTACTCGTTTACTAGGTCGGCCGCCCGGCTTCGACCGCGTGCGCGGTGCCGAGATAGGCAACAAGGACTTCAACCTCGACGTGCTAGAGGAGGCCTACACCACGGAGCACTGGCTCGTGCGCATCTACAAGGTCAAACCGCTGCCCAACCGCGGCCTATGAACAATGATACCAGTCTATCTTACCATATAGCGCGCTCAAATTGGGTATTTTCCAAATATTTGAAAACAACTTATATTTAAAGATTGGGACAAACGATTTAAATAAATAAATTGATTTCTTTTTTCTCCATTAAACCAATTGAGGTTGAATTTATTTTTAATGGTTTGGAATTTACCGCTGAAACGCTCGGTTCGATGACGTCTACTGTGTGACGTCAACTTTGTGTAAACAACAAGTAAAATCGAGTTAGTCGGCTTTAAGAAACCCGGCTTCCATTGTGGAAATTAATTAAAATCGGAATACTGTAACAAAGAAATCGTCAAATAATTACTCCGTAATCGAACCGAGCGTTTTGGCGGTACAAAACCATTAAAAATAAATTCAACTTTAATTGGTCTAATGGAGAAAAAAGAAATTAACTAATTTATTTTTATTTTTCTGTTAAATCGTTTGTCCCACTCTTTAAATATTAGTAGTTATCAAAATTTTCGAAAATACCCTATTACGCCATCTGTACGAGTTCACTTTAAACTAACTTCATTATAGTCAATCGTGCGCGTCTACAAGGTCAAACCGCTGCCTATAAACACAATGACACACGACTATCGTATCTTAAGGCTGATTTGCGCCGGGGCATCACAGTGCAGCATTACAACATGCCACACCTATTATTTCATATTAAACAGCACAATTGCTTTAAAAATTATCTAGCCATAACGTTGCGTCGGCTTTTAATAAGCTGCTGGATGTTGCAAATGAAGCAGTTTCTTTCTATTTGCTACATACCACCTGATGACCCACGCCAAAATATGTAACATGACATGACATGACACTGTCGCATGTTGTTGTCTCGGCTTAAGTCAAGCTTTAATATCTAAAAGGCTCAAAACACACGCCATCTATACTAGTTCACTTTAAACTATTGGTATTATAGCCATTCGGGCGCATCTACAAAGTCAAACCGTGGCCTTTAAAACATGACACCCGATTATCGTGTCTTACCATCTAGCGAGCTCAAAAAACGCCATCTATACTAGTTCACTTTAAACTAACTGTATTATAGCTAATCGTGCGCATCTATGAGACCAAACCGCTGCCCAATCGCGACCTGACAGTTATAAGAACTCACGGTGCGATTTCCACCCGCGCCATAGAATGGGAAATTGTGGGTAAAACGCGAATTACGTCCGCGTTTTTGCGGACCCCGAACGAAGAAAACTGCAATATAACAGCTCCGCGGCAGGTGCGGTGAAATACCCATAGAGGTACTTATACCCCTACTGTATTTAAGAATACAGTAGGGGAGATATAGACTACTAGACGTGGAAGTGTCAATCTAATAGAAAGAGAAAGAAGATGAGAGACCGCTAGCTTTCTCTCTCTAATCGCGCATACGCATTGGCAACAGTGGGCATCTTACTATTTCGATGTGATGCTTGGACCAAGTATTGGACAGACGACTGCGCATGTGTCACAAGAGAGAGAGATAGCTAGCGGTCTCTCGTCTTCTTTCTCCTAGACGGACACTTTTAGAGCCGCCTTCCCCACTCTATTCTTATACCACTATTGGTGAAATACCGCTCCTTGAGTTCTTATAATATCATGTCCTATCATCTAGCACGTAAAAAACGCGCCGTATATACTAGTTTACTAACGCGCTAGGTCGCGTTTTATACCTACACTCCCGAGTGCAACTTATAATGTCAAATTCGACATAAGTTTTATACATTGTTAAAATTGTCAGCGAAAAATTGCAAAAATTTAGGCAAATACCACAACATCGTGTTTCCATTTAGAGCTGATCCATTTCTTTATGTAACTTCCAAAAAAATGATATAAGTTTGTCACATATGAACTTTATCACGAAACTGTTTAAAATGGTATTTTAAAATTTAGAAATTTATTTGTGTTAATAGTATGAAAGCACGCATTCATAATAAATTCAAAATAACGATTTGGCTTAACTGGACTATTAAAAATGCTTTTAATTTTTTCACACGTTCAGTTACCAGAATAAGATGAATTTTACGTAAATATCCGCGTTATTTTGAATAAGTTATGAACAATATATTAATTTATTAGAATAAGTTAATAAAAAATATTTTTATGTTTTATTATTAAAGTTTTATTTTTTTAATTGTATGTATATGAGTTCATATCGGCTATTTTTCCAGCCAGGGTATTTCAAGCGTGTAGCTAATAATAGTCTGTAAATCTAGTGAATAGTGACGAATGATCGGCTCTTAAGGTTAAAATTGTGGGATCGTAAGCCTATTATTATATATGATGTTGAGCGCAGAATTTCAATGAAGTTGACATGAAGTGAATTTAAGTTCGACGCGTATCATCAAAGTCGAATCTCTTCATCTTCCTGTATATATGAGAGACTATACTTACACCATGGAGCACCCCCACTGGAGTCCGCATCACTTAGTATTTGTTTGGAATCAAAATCGCCAAAGTCGGCGGCGTGCGGGAAATGTAGCCGCGTTCTGATTGGACACGGACAAGGTCAGAAGACAAACTCAGTGCATAGAAGGGATGAGGGTAGCAATACACATGCCGGTATGAGAGTGGGATAGCATATATGATTTAGCACATGCGAGAAAGTGATAATTGTAAAAAGACATTAACGCGTTCTACGAAAAATTAAAAAAATGAACAGCAATTTAATTTAATATATAAAATTCTCGTGACACGGTGTGCGTAATTGAACTACTCCGAAACGTCTCGACCGATTTTCGTGAAATTTTATATGCATATTCAGTAGGTCAGAAGGAGAACCGGACATCTTTTTTTCATCCCCCTAAATTTTAAGGGATGTTAACCCCTAATATTTTTTTCTGAAATTTTTTTATTTTTATTTTTTTATGATACATCGTACAAAAATACATACAACCGTAAAGTTTCACCCTTCTACCACCAACCCTTATTTTTTTATGGCGGTACGAAGTTCGCTGGGACAAAAAGTATAAACATAATTAATCTTTTAAAAAAACTTACCGGTGAAAAGTTTTGTCATCTTTTCTAAGACTGGGTGTTTTACTCCAGTTTTCACACAATTTTATTGCATATAAAGGTATTTTATATAGTTTAATAACACGAGAACGGGAGAAACACTCCGACCAACGCTCGGTTACCGAATGAAACGATGTATCGCGACATTTAGGGCCGTGCCTCAAGCAAAGGTAAAATTTTACTTAAGTTTGGCGCAAGCGCTTGCCCTTGTATGCGGTTTCTAGTGGGGTGGCTCCCTGACTTAAACTAACAAGCAAAGAATTCGATAATTCCTTGAATTCTTAACTACATGCATCATCTATGAAACCATTCTTCCTTTTAGACTGAGACGATTTCTATGCTTGTATTGTGTTAACATTTTATGTATTACTAAGGATAACGTCTGTTTTAAATACAATGATAGTCGAAATTCATAATATAATAAATGTACGATGACTTTGCACTTATTACCAACTTTAAGTAATATAATAGACAAACGCACAAGTAGTTTGAGACAAGCCTTAGAATGCACAGGCAATTTTAAGCAATTTCGATTTTCCATTATTACAATGAAATGCTTAAATAGCATGTGCATTTAAAGATGATAATATTTTCAATAGCTGCATTCGTTATTTGAATCTGATCAATCTTTTTAGACTGAATTCTTCCTTTATTATATCTAGAATAATTTAGATCAGCCCGATGTTATCGATCGATGTTGCTCGGAGTATTTTGACTTATGAGAAAGATTAATCTGGTTTTCTGTCATGTTGTGAGGTTAGCGATTAATCTACGGTTGGTCGGGCCATTCGGTAATAGCAATCTGCTCAGATTAATATGTGATCACGTGACCAAAAATACGTCGCCTCCGCGATGCAAATACCGAACGCAACTATTGAAAATATTAAAAAGGTTTCGTCGCCATTTTCGTTATTGTGAATGGGGAGTGTAAAAATTGTAATAATGAGAAGTGTTGTATAAATTACTTTTTCTATTTTATTTGTAATAAAGTTTATGGAATAGAGACTTTTGTTTAATTTTCTGACTGCTGATCGTCATCGCTGGCATCGGAGCACTCTTCTGGGTGGAATGTGTCATCGTTGTTGTAGTGGGGATTCGGCCTCTTGTGGCGCCGCCGCCGTTGGGGCTCCTGTCTTCGTTGTCTTACCTATTACACACCAAATGAGAAAGCATGGCAACTATAACGCGACAAGGATCTTTATGAATGTGGCGAAAATTGGAACTAACACCACCGTCTTTGTAAATGTCATATTTTTTATGGTTATTTACGTCGACAGGGGCGCCCTCCCTGAACTTTCAGTTACATTGATAAAAATCCTCGTCGCACTGTATTGATGTGAAATTGAGTATGACAATTTCTGACATCTTTGTTAAAATTAAATAAAACCTAAGCTAATATACAGCCAGTTTTAATAGTCAATCTCCGGTAAGGTACTGTACTATTATTTTTTTATAATAGTTGCGTTTTTATTATTTAAAACTGAAACCAGAATAGCATATCTTTTACTGCATATTGATTATTGGAACTGACCTTAAATAGAAATAGGGTAATCTCTAAACTACCAATTGATATTATAAAACAGAGCAGTGTCAAGTTGTTCTACTGTAATGTAGTTTAAATATAGCTCATTATTAACTTATTTACAAATCACAAATGGTTATGATACCAAAAAGGTCCATTAACCTAATAGACAATAATATAATAACCACACATGAAGTTAAGATACAGTTTTTTTATTACCTGTTGGCTTAGTTTATATTGTCCATCGCCATCTATAAATGCTTGTTTAAAGGCTTTATGTAAAGGTTTCTTCTTAAAAACTGAACATTGCTCTCTGAGTAATTCAGCAGCACCTTCTGGTAAATCTGGAAATGTTTAAATATTATCAGAGAAACAAATCTCAATTAAAACAAAAAGGGAAGATACGGCACTCGCGGCTCAAAAGTGATCCGCTTAAATTGTGGTGCACAGTAGTGTTGCCGAACTATCGATATTAAAACTATCGACAGTTTACATCGAAAATCATGTATCCTATCGATAGAATCGATACAACCGATAGTATCGATATTATCGATAGCTCAGAACAAGGCAATACTATCGAATGAGTGCAATACTATCAATACTATTGTAGTTCATTAATAACAAACTATTGATAGTATCGATACTATC